AGATCATGACATAGTAAAATATGAATGATTAATGTGCAATTGTGATGTGTTCTGCTTACAATGGGAATGAAAATAATGATATTTTAGGGAATTGTGGCATAAAAGAAATATTACCAAAGCCAATAGAGTAAAAATAACTTAAACAATTACTTGATAAATATTTATTATGATTAAATTTATTAATAAATGGAAGCACTTATAAAATTATTGATACTCTAATTAATAGTTAAGGACTTCATTGATATAGCATTTATTCGGTAGGATAGCAATTTGATAACCATTTACTTTAATGTAATATCGCTAAGTATTGCCATAATACTCTTCATACTTGATTACTGCAAATTATCAATTACATATTTAAAAGTGGGCCTCTTTGGATTATGTGCAATAAATTCAGAAATACCATTTTAATAAAAGATTAACTTTGCCAACGTTGCTTACTTTGCATACACTGCACTAATATTATTCAATATCTACTCACGAAACCTATCCACTAGATTGATTGTCCACTTTTAACTACTATATGTAACCATTAGAGTTTCATTTACTTAAAATAGTTATGACTTACACACACTTCTGATCATGATCTCTTTGTAACCAATTAATCATTACATCATACATTAAATGACTAGTGTCAAACGCTCATCGTTCACTTAAACCCTGATTTAATAAGAATAAAAATTTAAATAGACATAATTTGAATAAGATTAATTATTATCAAGCGAAAGTAAAAGAGATTTTATTAAATATGACCTGAATGAGAGTATCATTCTAAAAGCTTTTAATGGAGAAATTGAAACTCCTCAACAAGAACACAAATACATCGGCATTAACAAAGACCAAATGGATCAGAGAATCATTATAAAAAAACACCCTAACAACTTACCAACAACCCTTGTATCGGATTCCAATTATAATATGGAACCTTTAAAATTAGAAAGAAATACTAGTACTAAGTATTCAGAAATAGTCTCTATTTTAAATAATCTGCCTTTTGGTATACTGTTTGTGGATTCATCCTTAACAGTTTTAGACTTTAATCAAAAAGTAACCCAACTACTAGGTTTAACTAATCCTTGTGATATTATTGCATTTTTAGATTAAGCTATTTAGAGGTAATGTTAATAGATTATTAAAGCGGAGACTTTTGCGAATTTAGATCATCAAAGAAAATCAGAAAACCTTAAAAGTCGCCCAGAAAAAAGACATTTCAAAATCAACCTTCAATTAGTCCATAAAAAGTATTCTTAGAAGAGCACATTCCAGATGCATTTTCATAATACAACAATAATGCCTCTTAATTTAAGGGGGAGAGTGATGCCAATATAGGAAAAAACCTTAAGTCGATATTTTAGAATTTCAAAAAAATCCACCAAAGTCAATTAACATCTTTGTCTCGAGATAACTTTCAATACATAATCAGAATGGATAATATGAATTAATCTGGTGGGAAGATCAAGTATAAGAGTTTGAAACTCAAAATATTTCAATTGGAAGGTTTTGTGCAATGGGAGTCTGTGGTTTATTTGTTCTTTTTGGAGAATATCACTAAGAGGGAAGAATATAGATTGCTGAATCATAAATACAAGTTTTAATAGGCCTTGCTTAATTCTTTATGTCATGAACTGCGAACTCCGATCAATGGAACAGTGTCTTAATTGTATGCCCTGAAGGATCAATTGTCTTAGGGTTTGATTGAATCTCATTTGGATCCTGCCATTGTATCGGCCAAGAGGTTGCAATTCCAACTCAATGATATCTTAGATTATGCTTAAATTTAATTTTCATCTTTGATCCTGAATAAGTCCTGTTTCAAGTTATAGGAAGTTTATTAATTACTATATGATCTTTTTAATTTTGAGTGTGTCTAAAAAAACATCAATCTCATCATTGAAAATGTAAGTCATATCTCAATTTATACAGACAAAGAAAGACTGATTAGAATTTTCATTAATTTATTGGACAACTCTGTCAAATTCACAAACAAAGGAGGCACTATCAAAGTGATTACTCAAACCACTCCTCTTTACTATAAGTTATCAGTAGAAGATAATGGATAGGGCATTTCAGAGGAAGTCACCCAGAAAATTGAGTAACAAGCAGAATTATTATTCCAAGACTCACTTCAATATGATTCTAACAAACTTGGACTAGGGCTTAGGATCTCATAATAGCTAGCCAAATATCTATACAAGGATTAGTTTTTTGAGATCGATTCTGTTTATGACAAATATACAAAAGTCAGTTTCCGAGTGTCAAATCAAATCCACAATTACTCCAATGAGTTTGAGTTCGACAAACACGAAGTCACTCAGATTTCAGATTGTGATTGTAGCAAGATTTTGATCGTTGATGATATCAGCTGTAACCATTTTGCCTTGTAAGTGTTGCTTAAAAAGTTCAAAGTGAAAACTGACAGTGCTTACAACGGTAATTCAGCAATCGACTTAGTCAAATAGAGATTTTCATAACAATGTTGCAAGACTTACCGATTAATTTTTATGGACATTGAAATGCCTGGCAAAAATGGATTTTAGGCCTCTAAAGAAGTAAGAGTGTTAATATATAGATAAATTAATTATTAAAGGAACGAAATTTGAACGAAAGTTGCATTATAACAATGTATTCAGCATACTCAGGTGACGATGATGTTCTGATTGCTAGTCAATGTGGTATGAAAGAGCGTATCTCCAAACCCACTGATATACAAAAATTAGAATATCTTGTTAATAAGTACATACTTTGAATATTATATATATATACATATATGAAATCTCTTATTAATTTATTTTATAGTAATGCAAAATGAGACTAATAAAAGAGTGGCCTATTTTTATCATCCCCAAATAGGGAGATATCATTATGGTAAGGAACATCCAATGAAACCAAAAAGAATTGCAATGGCGCATAATTTAATTGTTAATTATGGGTAATGTATTATAAACATGTGTTAGTTTGTACCGAAACCTGGATGTATATATGAATAGGTAGGCTTCACTGAAAGAGATGGAGAAATTTCATGAACCAGAATACTTGCAATATTTGAGTCAATTCACAAGTGTTAGAAGTCAAATTGTGAATGAGTATCAACACTATAATCAACAGCCAAATATCACTCACTTCACAAGCCACATCTACAACGAGTTTGATTTGTTAGATTATAATATACCACACACTCATGAACCCATTGAGACAAATAATAATTATCCATAACCAAATAGTTTCAGGGTAGGAGACTCCACTGATAACCCCAGCTTTCCAGGTCTATATGACTTTTGCCAATTGTCTGCAGGAGGATCAATTGATGCTGCTCATGTGTTGATTTCATAGGATGCAGAAATAGCCATTAATTATTCTGGAGGTCTGCATCATGCCAAGAAAAGAGAGGCCAGTGGGTTCTGTTATGTGAATGACATTGTGATAGCCATATTGGAATTGTTGAGAGTACACCAGAGAGTTTTGTATGTTGATATTGATGTTCATCATGGTGATGGAGTTGAAGAGGCATTTCTTCTAACAAATAGAGTGATGACTTGTTCATTCCATCAGTATGGAGATGATTTCTTTCCAGGCTCAGGAGATATTGATAGTTATGGAGAAGGATTGGGTCGATATCATGCTCTCAATATCCCTTTGAAAATTGGTATGAATGATGAGACCTTTACAGAAATATTCCAGAAAATCATCACCTAAGTTATGGATATCTATAGACCAGAGGCTGTAGTCTTGCAATGTGGAGCTGATTCCCTATGTCATGATAGATTGGGAGGATATAATTTATCAACCAAAGGACATGGAGCTTGTGTTGAATTCATGATCAAATACAATGTTCCCATCTTAGTATTAGGAGGAGGAGGATATACAATCTAAAACGTAGCTAGATGTTGGGCATATGAAACTGGTTTGTGTTTAAATAAAAAAATTGATGCTCCTATTCCCACTTCCGAAATCTATTATGAATATTATGCTCCAGACTACAAATTGCATTTCCCAATCAAACAAAATGTAGAAAACAAGAACAAGAAAGAAGAACTCCAAAGAATCGTAGAGAAAATATATGGGTATCTCAAATCCATTGAACCTGTTCCAGGCATAGGTTTCCATGATTTGCCTTAATCATTTTATCCAGAAATGAATGTAGAAGAAGGTATTTTATCTTTTAATTCCCTAGAAATCAATCCCGATCAACGTTATGAATAAACATTAAATTAATTCGAGGGAGCCCACTATGAGGAAGGAAATGAAATATTGGTTGATCCGTCCAATGGATTCTCAATACATAGAAGGGAATGATAAACTATATATTTAATCAATTTTTGATGAACTCATTCTTTTATCAATAAAATAATTAATGATCTAGTGTATTAAGCTTAATTTCAATTGAATAATGACATTAAGTTGAGTTATCTTAATAAAACTCTGTTCTTTAAAGTTGGTAAGTAAAGTATAATGAATGGCTTGAAATGACATATTCTCATAGCGCAATAAGTAATTTGAATTAAATAGATTTGATGATCTGAATTTGTTCAATTTATAATTAATGTAGATATCAAGGAATATTCATTCTGAATGTTATGAAGATGTTGAACTATTTGATGATATAACAAGCAAAGTAGAAATGAGTTTAAAGAGGAAAACAATAGAGAGTGATATAATATATATATATGGTAGTATCTAATAATGAGTACTATTGATAGTAATATAAATCACATATTAGATATGATATGTTATTATTATTTAGATGGATGAAAATTAATAAATGACCAAATAATTAATAAAAGATCAATAATTAATAAAATGATCAATAAAACCTCTCTATTCAAATCCCTATTTCACAGTCATTCAACTTCCTTTTGGGATGACTGTAAAGTAGAGCACTTTAGTAATGTGAGTTTTGAGGGTATCTTTCAAGCTAAAATGGGAGAAATCATGAGCAATGTATTTGTCAAGGTGAAATTGTCATACTTGATAATTATATAGGGAGATGTACAAATTTTATTATGAGACAGAAATAACTTATTGCCAACATAGAAAATGCTATAATTTACTTGATTAGAGATGGTGCAAACGATGTGGGCGTTAAAATACTAAAGGGAATAACATGGTTAGAACTTTATGGGGATGTAACTGAACTGTTTAGTGTATTGAAGAAGTAATGCATCCAGATAGACTTTGTATTAAAATATAAAGTGAAGAAATTGATGGCAAAAGGTACATTTGCTAATGTAAGTACTGATTTGATTATTGCTAGGTTTTTTTGGCAGAAAATGCAAAGACAAATGAACAATTTGCTATAAAGTGTTTTGATAAGAATTAGATTTAGAAGAGTTCAAAAAATTTATAATCTCTCTAAAAGGAATTAAAGATCCTTCGTTTAATGAGACATAAATAAGTAATGACTCTTATAGAGACATTCGAAACAGTGAGTTATGTATTTGTTGTGTAAGAATATTTGAGAGGAGGAGACTTACATGATTATATCGCTAGAGTAGGTCAATTATCAGAACGAAAAGTGCATTCAGTGATATCTCAATTAGTGAGTGCATTATAATTCATTCATTCCTAAGGAGTCATTCATAGAGACATAAAACCGGAGAACATCATCCTTAGAAGCCAAGATAATGTAGAAGATTTAGTTATATCTGATTTCGGATTGGCAGATTTTTATAATTTTGATGGCAATTACTTATATAAATAATGTGGTACACCTGGATATGCAGCACCAGAAATCTTGATGGGACAACCTTATGATTATAAGGTCGATGTTTACAGTTTGGGAGTAGTTTTTTACACTCTCATAACAGGAAGAAGACCATTTTAAGGGAAGAATACTGATCAAATTTTTTAACTTAATGAAAAAGGGGAGATTAACTTTCAGAATCTCCATCTTAAGGCTGAAGGGCTGAATTTGTTAAAGAAAATGCTTGAAATCAGACCAGAGCATCGTTATTCATTGTGCATGATTAAATCACATATCTGGTTGAAAAAAATTCATATCAAAACTCATTTAAGTTTGTAGTACATCAATGTGCCAGAAAGCGTGAAGAGTGGTGGAAGCATTACTCCCAGAGTTCTCATGACCAAAACTTACAATGCTAAGTAGTTTCTAAAGACTGAGCAAAACCAAAGCACAGAAAGAAGACATTACAAATAATAGGGAGGGAGATACAACATTTCTATTGGGAACTTTACAAAATTATAAGGAATCGTATATTGATGTTGTGAATCTGTTTTAATTCATCATATATTTAAACATGCCAAATCAAACATTTTCATAATTATTATTATTTTTTAATGGCAACAGGCTACGAAAGAATTGATCAAGAAACACTCAGGAGAGACGATCAACTGAATGGGTTATTGTAGAGAATCAGATAAGATGTGATGAACGGATATGTTGTGGAGGTCAAAACTAGAGCCAATTCATATAATTAAGTAAGGAAATTGATCAAATTAGTTAGAGAATAATTCTAAGTAAAGTTCTAGAATATCCTCCATGAGCAATTCAATAGTTAAACATCCTATGATTTAATAAAACGACTAACCCAAAGATTTAGAAGAAATTGCCGTAATTTCATAACGAGATCAACAATAAATGCTAAACCATTCTTAAGCACTTGGCTTTTCCCCTCCCAAAGTCAAAAGTGAAATAGTCAAACCAGTTGTCCTCAACTAAGAGTTGTCTCCCCAATAAACTCATCATTCAATTCCATAAAAAGAAGAACCTGCCCCTCAAAAAACCATCCCCCAACAATTAGATGAAATAGAAACAAATGCAGATACAGGTGATTGTTACAACCACATTAAAATCTTGAAGAAAATCAATGCTTAGCTCTAACAGTCAATGAAGGAAAGCATTCATGATTGCAACCATTTATTCAGTTAGGCAATATAGACTGTGAGAACCATGTGTTTATTGACCAGATTCTATAAATAGGTAGGAGATTTCAAAAATGCTATCAAATAGTTAAAGGCGATCTAGAAGTAATTCAAGATATTAGAACCAAATTTGGTTGGAAAAATTCTTATAGAATTGGGAAAGTTGCACTTTCTAAATCAAGCCTATTAGAATGCTCAATCTTCATATTATATGGCACTCTAGCATTACGAAAAATTGGAATGGAAATCTGAAATAGCTCATATATTGCTTCTGATGGCAAAATTACATGCTTGGACAAGTACTTTTTTCATTAATACATAGAAAATTTTGACCTATCAAAAAAATTAATCTATGGTTCAATATCCATCCTTAAAGACTTCCTTCCAGAGGATCATGAATAGATAGCTGAAGCTTATGTTGCATTAGGCGAATGCAATTATATTTCTAAAAATTCAGAAGAAGCTATCGAATTTCTGATGAAGGCAGTTAAAATAAAATATCAAATATACAAGGATTATAAGCATCTCAAATTTGTCGAAGTATTCAATCTTTTAGGACTGAGTTATGGATTAGTACCTGATATACAATAATCACTCAACTATTTTATCCAAGCATTATAATGCTTTCAGTAAATCTTAAAACTTATTTAGGTAAAATTGTGTGTAACGAGCCTAAATTCTTAATAATATATCTGTGATATATCAAGCATAAGGAGATGTAGACAAAGCAAGCAAATGTCATTTTAAAGCCAAAGAAATCTACTCAACTTTCTTACCAAATTAGCATAATTAGATGTAAAGATTAGTTTTAAATTAAACATGTCTAACTCCTCCTATGTGAATTAAATATTTAATATTCAATATATATATAACATCATTATTCTTCTTCTATTTCCTTCTCTATCTCCTTTGCCAATTGTCTAATTTATTAAGAAACATCAATCATTCCTGACTTTTGGATCTTCTCAAACCAAACTAAAGCTGCCTTTTTATTGCTTTTGATCTTATCTGCACCTTCCCAATACATCATTCCAGCATTAAACTAAATTTATTCTATATTTTCATACCTAAGATAATGGAAACCCCAAGTTTCCAGCATGAGTAAACCATGCCAAAGCCTTAAAGTCATCCTTCTTTGTTATTCTGCCTTCCCTGTATATGACACCTAGATTGTGTTAAGCATCCAGTAGACCCATTTCTGCTGCTTTTTTGGTGTAATGGAATTCTAAAGTTTGATCCTTCTCGCAAACTATTCCCTCTCGATGACTAATCATAAAATAACTTAAAAATGTACAATTTTGCTAATTTAAAGAATGCCTAAGGGTTTTCATAGGCTGCAGCAATGAAATAACACTCAAGTGCAAATTTCAAATCTATTCCTCCAGGAGTATCACCTCTTTCTGCCATTTCTCCAATGTAATAGTAAGAATGAGGGAATTCATTCTCTGCGCAATCATAAAATAATTTGTATGCTTCCTTTAATAATTTCTCTCTATCTTTTCTTTGTTTGGATTGCATCATATTCATTGCTACTTTATACATTTCCTTGGCTACTAAATGCTAAGCTGGTTTATTCCCTTAATTCGCTAATTCTAATAGTTGGTGTTATGCATCATCAAATTTGGCTTGATCTCCTTTTTGTGAGGCATCTAGTTTTTTCAGATATGCCAAATGATATTCAGTATTCTATCTTTCAAGCCAATTATCAGCATTCTTTTTTGCATGAGATAAAAATAATTATGTAATTTGCTCATTTTTTGGAGTGTCTAACCAAAATTAAACTTAAATCTATACACATAGATCCTACAAATTATTCCACTGCAGCAGCGCATAAATAGTGAGATTTGACTGAAGATAACACCTGTTCGACCAATGGAAATTAATAGGCCCTTTCAGTCACCGATTTCATATCAAAAATGATTTTCTATATGGCTAATTTCAACTCTTCGTTCTCAACTTAGGCATTCATAATTTGATCGGTCAATTTGTAATAATCTACTTGTTTATCTGTCGAAAATCTGAATCGTCGAAATAATTTTCTAAACATATTATAATATTGATTAATAAAAAAAAGACTTGTAATAAGCATCTATAGATAAAAAATCATTAAACGCTATCTGATCTTTATGAGAATAACTTGTCTACTAATTTGTCTTAAGCTTTTTATTTTAAAAATTATTTCGAATTTGTTTTGTTCATTATTTTATTATTAATTAGTCCATACGGATCATTTACTTTTATACTACGCTTTCTTTCACCTTAAGCTGATACAACACTACATCTTGAATTAGTTCTGCTCTCCCTTGTAATATTCATTGACTTCTCCTTTAAAGGGATAATCAATTTATATTGCATTGAATTTGCACTCTATGCATGTTTGAGTTTATTTGTATTGTTGAATTAACTAATTATACTGAGTATTTTTGAATAATCTTAAGTATTTGCTTAGGTCAATTATTTCAAGCTTTTATTTGGTAACTTAATAGATTGAGTCATTTGACTATTGTCTTGAGTTGTTGTCGTATGAGTATTGCGTCTTTATGTGATATTGGAGGTTATTTTGATAGGTTGCTTGAGAAATCCCTTAAAGTCATCAAAGTAATAAGAAGGCATCGAGATTTCCCTTTTTTTTATTTTCTATGGCATTCTCAAAGTTCCATTGTTCCCAATATCTGGATTAAAGAACTAAGCTGTTTGTTAAAATTGTGCAAAGCTCTAATCAATACAAGACATTCAAAAAATGTGATTGTTAAAAATATAAATTACATATCTCAATTATACTATTATGGCATTTTATATTCGAAATCACCCAGTTTCTCTCTCCTTATGTAACCCACATAAGGCATCACTTCTATCCATACTTCAAAATTCACTGTAGCATTACGCAGCTATTTATGAATATCTTTGAGTGGATATTCGGCTCTTTAATTTTTCAGAACAAGCTAAAATGACTAATAGAATTACCTTTGATGAAGTACTCCAACTGCTGGGGTCATCTGGTCTAGAAATGATTTTATCATATATCACACAATCTGATTCATACTAATACTTCGATAAAATAAGTATACTCCTTTCTATTAATGCTCATGATGGACATTCACATACAAAAACAATTACTTTAAATTCCAATTGTATACAGGCTCAAAATCTAAATATTATACGTGTATTAAAAACCTGCCTCCAAGGAGAATTTAAATGTCACCTAATCCCAATCAGTTACACCTCCATTATAATAAGTGGCCTTGTAATGTTGACTAAACAAAATAATCATTTTATCTGCAATACAATTTATCTGCACTTAAGATCTTTAGATCTACTGTTGGCTTTCCAGTTTTAAAAAAATATGCTGTGCCCTAATTCAGCAATGATAGAATGACTTATCTAGAATTAGTAACGTACCTAATGTCCATGATGTGAAGAACACGATCTAATTAAAACGAGCTGTAATTGAATACATTATTTAATTATTTATCAATATAAATATTTACATACTCTCTTTACTTTCTAATATTCTCAATTGAAAGAGAATTTTATTTCCACCTATAATGGTGCATTAATTACTTTGTTTCATGCTTTAATTCTAAAAGATTTACATACTTTCCATAATAATTAAATTAATTTTTAAGTTGCAAAATAAATTTTTATTGGAATTAGCACTTAAAGCGGTGCTTCTGATTTTAATTAATGGATACAAGATTACTTAAGTTGTACCAGTGATGAATTATACATCAATGAATTTTGTAAAACTGATACCCATCAATGGGTTTTAAAAGATTTACCTTTACTGTGTGATAGTTCCCAAAATAGACACTTCTATATAATTTAATTTTCAAAACAGCAACTCCAAAGCATTTGTAGAATCCGAAAACACCATCAGAGTTATATACTTTGCTTTAACAATCTGTTAAACCAGTGAATTTTATGCAACTCATTTCACCGAAATCTGGTTCTACAACATTGAGTGGATTAAAACCCAACATTGAAGTAGTATCAGCTGTATTAAAAAATACTACTCTGTAAGGCAGAGCCATATCATAATAATTTATAATTCACTTCTACTCTAAAAACTATGATATACCCATTACCAACGCTATTCAGTGAATTTATCAAACATTTTTAATTACTAGATTCAGATTAAGTTGCTAATTTTTTGTTTCTATAACATACCTAAAACCAGATTTTCAGACTTTTTAACCATATATTTTTTGAAAAGGTAATGATATAAGATTTAAAGTGGGAAAGAGCCCTTCAAGATGAAAGGGAAAGTTAGATGAAGAAATTTTAGCTCTTGAAGATGTGTTTAGGTGTTTTTAACTCTATTTCAGATCAATACTTATTTTTGAAAATTTTATTATTATTTCAATTTAATCTTATAAATTTCAATGCTTAGCCCTTCAAGAATACCCAAATATTCTTTGATTCTAGCCTTCTCAAATTTATAATGGTGTTTTCTTTTGTTGACCACTCAATAAATTAAATTTTTTATAGATTTCATAATTTAGGCAGGCTTACTTGAGTTTATCTATTAAAAGGTTATGTTCATCAAATGAACTAAAATAATTGCTGAGCATTTAACAGTTCTTCGTCTCCCAACGTTATACTATCAATACACTCTTTTTCATAATCAGAATCAGCAAGTCTTCGTTTTAAGATTTTAACAATTCGTTTAATACTTACATTGCCAATGCATAGTTTGATAAGTTGGGCAATATGGCTAAGTCTAGAATGCCTTCAAACATAAAGCAATATTTGAATTCTTTATCGAAATTAGATTTATTATTCGAAAATTAACAAATTATTATCAAAAATACAGTTTAAATTAAGATATATAGTTATAAAATACCACAAACAGAAAAGGAAAATAAAACCCAAAATCAATATTATTATTAATTACTTTAATTCATTAGGGCCAAATCGTTTAATTAGTGAAAAAACAAAAGATTTTTTCATCTATATACTCTCCAATTTTGATAATCTGTCATCAGATCCTAAGTTGAAGATGAAAAACAAGGAACTCTTTAGGATTCATTGTAGAAATAATAAATAACTGAAAATATAATCATTAGAGTCGTTATTCTAATTTAAGATTTAAAGCTCGCAATTATTCGTTTTCTTCACTATGTGATATCTTTTCAAAAATGGTATCAGTGAAATCAATTTAAGTTGATTCTCTTTACTTAATTTCTTTTATAATATCTTCTTATTTCATATTTTTATTAATAAATATTATCTAATTACATTCCATATATTTGAAGCTTTCTCTCAAATGATTTTTATCTTGTTCTTCATTTTCACTTAATTCCATGTTTACAACAACGATTGAAATGATATTTTTAAATTTTCTTAAGTACTTTAATACTGATAATACTTTTTTCTTCATTAAATCAGTTCTTTCAAAGTTTACAATTATCCAAAAACTGGAAATATCTTTTCTATTATCAAAATAGTTTTAGAATTCCTTAATAACATTTTCTCTTTTATCGATCTCATCATCTAATTAAAAAGATGGTGTATCAACGACGACATATTCTTCACCCAAAATTCCTTCTTTCATTTTTGGTTCAATATCCTAAGAATCTTCTGAATATTTGGCTTAAATTCCTTATTCAATTTTTAGTTCATTATCCTAGGAACCACTTGAATTTTTGGTTTAAATTTCCTTAAGTCTCATTAAGTCAATTAATGCTTCTTTTCCAACTCCTGACTATCCTACTAAAACTATGTAAAATTTATCCTCATTTTATTTTTAAATTTGATTATTAGTTGTATTATTATTAGAACCGAGATTCTAACTGTCATTCCTTTTAGTCTCAGCTTCTCCATTATCATCTGGCTTTTTATCTGATCGATCTTTATTCTCCAGAAAGTTATCTTCATAGTGATTAGAAGATATAGGACTCTTAATGCTATTTTGAGAGATAGGACTCTTAATGCTATTTTGAGAGATAGGCTAATCATTCATTGAGCTGTTTGAATTGGATCCAAAATCAAAGCAAAAATTTCCCATTTTAATTTTAGTTATTATTCTTTGTGGATCAAAGAGCTTCAAATTTTATTTAATAGAATTTGTTTGTAAATATATTTGATACAGAAAACATTTCTAAATAATAAATAATTAGATGATTGTAATTTGAAATTTAAGGTTAAATATCAATAATTTTTAATATGTATCATTCATAAGCTTCACATAGGTAGTATGACATCTTTATGAGTTCACATTTTACATAATTATTTATGGCCTGACCAAGCAATAATTGCCAAAGTCTAAATCTTATTTGAGGAAATTACAGGAGTATTACTGATTTTCTAGTATTATATTAAAAAATTAATCAATTTGTATTACTAAGTTTATTTAAAAATCATCATATTCTTAAAATCAAATAAATCACACAATAATTGGATTATTAATAAGTAGACTTTTATACACCTGAACATCTAGTAGATTAATTTAAAAATTAATAAAACTAAAATCAATTTTTATGATGAAACGTGAAGTTAAAATATAAATTTTAGGTACAGCTGATTTTTTAATTCATTTGATTTATTAAAATTTAAATAAATGCTAATTTGAATAAATCCAACAAAAAAATCACACCTTTTTTATGACTTTCAATTTGCGTACAATATAGTTAATTGTACACTTTTAGTCTTATTCCAAATTAATATCTATTATAGATTATTTAAAAAATAACATTGTAATTATCTACTGGAAGTGAAAATAAACATTAAGGCTGAACAGGTAAGGGATACATAAAATTGTAATTAATAATGCTATTTAAATTAAAGAGCAAATTATAACAAACAATAATTAAAATGCTATTTTGTATTTTGAATGTGTGATGCTATGATTAATTATTATATTATCAGATGTTATATTCACATTTAGTTTAGGGTAGTTTATATTTTGTTATCCAAGGATGTTTAAGCATTTATTCGATTGTCAATCTTTTATTTGGATCGGATTGAAGACCACCTTTTACAAAAAACGTTAATTCAGCTGAAAAAGTGTGAGGTATTGTTAAGCGATGCTAAAGAAGAGATAAGTATTTTGATTACTTTTATTATGTTATCCATAATCCCTCTTTGATCTTTATTTCCCAACAGAATAAATGGAGTTTATCCATAAACTAATTCATAAGCAAGCACAGCGATTTGCCATGCATCCACTCTGGAATCATATCCTTTCATTTAAATAACTTCAGGTGCCATGAATTCAATTGTTCCACAAAAGGTTTCTCTTCTGTCTTGGTTTGAACAAACACAACCAAAATCTCCAATTTTTATTTGATTAAATGATAACATGATATTCTCTGTCTTCAGATCTCGATGCATAACATTGTTTAAATGCATATACTATATACATTGAAGAATTTAGTATATGTAATATGATGCTTTATTCTAAGTATTGAAGGCACAATTACTTCTGGGAACTTGTATCCAGGTTACTTTCTTTGAACTTTAAAGAGTTCACCATCATTGCAATATTCCATTAACAAGTACAAATTGAATTCATCAGAGTAGCAATTATACAACTTAACTATGTTTGGATGATTAAGGTTCATTTGCACTTTAATTTCTTGGATCATTTGTTTCTATAACTATTCATCCTAAATTTTCTCTTTCTTGATCACCTTCAAAGCATATACTGTACTCGTCAATTTGTCGCTTATTTTAAGTTCTGATAATACATGCACTAATGAACATCTGAAAATTGTCCCCTTCCTAACAATTTGCCAATCCTAAATTGAGGAATTGCTTCAAATGTTTGGAACCTCTACTTCGGAAACCAAGATTGAACAGTCTTATAATTCTATATTCTTGACATTGTCATGCAATCCTATGGGGAAACCTTTTTTAACATTGGTGATGCTATTCTGCTAGTCATATTAACTAATGTTGGTGGTTTGTGTAATTATTCTGCTGTTGATTTTGATGAAGTTGATTCTTTGCTGCCACCTCGTAGTGTTTAATTAACTGAATCACGTAGTCTTAATAAGTTTTATTCAAGAGTGACTGTTTTAGCTATAAGGCCATTCCATTTGGTTTAGCTTTCATGCACCTTTTAGGAAATCGACATTTTAAGATTATTTTATATTTTTTCTGGCTTCTTGGGTTCTGAATTGCCTCTAACTTAAGTTGGCTTTTAGAGATAAAACGATTTCATATAATATTAATTCTCAATTTATAAATAAGAAATGAAATTATGTAATATTCATAAAGTTTCATTTGAAATTTTTAGATGATTTATATTTCAATGTATCATTTAGTTCATAGCTCTGGTTTGTTTGATCATTAATAAATTGAATTACAATTTGAGTTTTATTTGATATGGACTAATTAGAATCCTAATTTTCAGTTCCAAATTAATTATTTAAGATACCCTAAAGTAGTTTAATGTTGGAAATTCAAACGATTTTCTATCATGAAGATTTGTGTTAAAGAATAATTTAACTTTGGAAAATGTATCTGCTCAAAGTTTTTTTTTTTAATTCAAAATTGGAGTTTCATTTGATTTTGAAATGATCTCTTCACAAGAATATAAGACTATTTTTAAACTTAAATATGTTAGGTAATCAAAAAAACTATTGAATATGTTAACCAATATTAATATTAGATCTAAAATTTGAAATTTACGAAAATGTCTTTTATATCCATTGAATAATAAATTAGTTTATTTTCAAATAGTTTGGAGTAATAATATAGACAAGAAGTTCTACCATAAAACCACCTTCAAAAACCATTGAAACATGATTTATAATTATCCAATAAATTATTATAATATCACTTATAAATATGCAATTAGTTATAATATTTCAACACATTAACTGCTAGATTTGGTTTAAAATCTTAGATTTAAATTCTTAATCTTATACTCTCAACATTAGAAAAAGGGCATTTCAACTTGAGAATTTGGATTTGAATTCATGATATTGTTGATTTATTCACATCTGAAAATTATTGATTTATCTCTTCTGCATCATTAACTATCTCCCTGTTATCAGATATGCATTTGATATATTATTAAATTAATTAATGTTTTTTTATTATGTTTTAATTACTTTAATGGTTTGAATCTGAAGGGATTCATACAGAGAGTATAAAAATTGCGGAACTTACTTATGGATGCAATGGCGTTGTTGCAACTTAACCTATCTCATCAGATCAAGTATTTTTGTTTATGCTATGTAAAAGATCATAATTAAAATTCCACTTCATTTGTGTATATTTAGTGAAGATCTCTTGAAAAATCATTACAAAAGATACAAGAAATACTATCCTCATATATTCAATATTGATTTAAATGAAGACGCTGAATTTAACTCTCTTGTTTTATACATGTAAATATAAGTCATCATTCTAAAGATTACAATAAAGAGATAATGAAATGTCATTGCATAAGCCATATTTTGATTATGTAAAAGATCCCTAAAATATCTTATCTTCGACTTAAGAATAAGTTGATACCATATTGGATGAAAACTTAAAGATAACAATTTAAAAGATGAGGATTGGTTTGCAATTAAATTTTGGCAGGTTTGTTACTTTTTTTAAAGAGCAATTCAAAAAGGAACTTAATTATGATTAATTTTTATATGCTTACCAATTTGTCATGACAAGATGCTTTGGAGGAGATGATCATCTTCAATCCCCTTGTTTGGTTCCTTTTGGGGATATGCTAAATCACCATGATAAATGTTAAACCAAATAGAAAATCATAGGAACAGATCTTGTGTTTATTACAACTAAGTAAATCCAAGAAAACGAAGAAATATTTAATTTTTTTGGAGAACATGGAAATAGTTTCTTGTTATGTTGGTATGGATTCACATATGACAATAACATTTACGATAAACTATATCTGTTATATGAAGATGATTAGATTAAAGAAGTGAGTTGCTATGAATTCCCTAAGTGTAATTTCAAATTAAAGTATTACAAAGTTTGTTAAAGTATAATAAATAATGTAAAATTTAGAATTATTAAGCCTATTAGGAGAGTAGAGATTTATTTAGGTGATGATGGAAGTGCAAGCAATCACTGAAAAGCAATTGAAATTCTAACCAGATTTATTGAGATGTTAATTATAAGTGATATAAAATTAATTAATCAACTTTTGAGTCTTTTTATCATATGTCTTCTTACAGAATAAAAGGAAGGAGGAACATACCTTGAAGATTTAAAAGAATCAAATATCTTGTTTGGCTCTTATGAGATGTTCATCTGTAATTTTGAATTTATGGCTGTAGAATTAGTTTGAGTATTATTCCTATGTGTATTTCCTCGATTTTTAGGAATTTCAAAAGGAGGCGATTTAGTGGTACTTCTGTTAGTATTCTTATTCTTCTTTTATTTGTTTACGGTTAGGTAACTATGCAATCTAGTGTGGCGTTTAGAGACAGATTAATTACAAGAATTAAGTCCTTAGATAGGGGTGAATCTTTCGTCATCCAATCCTTCTAATTAGGATGTAGAGGGTCTAGGCATCAAAGCTTAAATTTGTTATTGCATAGATTAATTTAAATTAGAAGGATTTTCTAGTAAATCGATATAGTCAAATTATTGATTGATGTAGTTCGTGATATATTTTGTAATTTCATTTTATTATTTGGATTAAGAGCGAGATAAAATATCTTTTAGATTTATTTATGGAGTAGGCGATTAACAAAGTTATTAGGTTTTGTTTTGATATGATTCAACCGAATACATTTTAGTTTATTTTGAAAATGTTTTAGGACTACATTTTGATTCTAATTTAGATTTTTAACTTGATTACAATGTTATAAATTGTTTTGATGTGTTTGATTTAGATTTAGGTTTCATGATTTCGACAGATTAATTTTCAATTAATTCTTCTTCTTTCTCATCATCATTTAATGAATCTGAGTTACATTCCGAGCAAGATTAGTTCATTTTATCTGCATCATTTTTTAATTCTTCAAGCAACTTTGAAAATTTTGTATTTTAAAATGATATTTAACAAGAATCAATGATACTTTTCTTCTTAAGAAATTATAAATTTTTCATTAATCTATTAGATCTACTGAGCTCATCGCTTTTTGTACTATAAATCTAATCCATTTCATTCTGAATGTCAATCATATCAATTAATGTTTCTCCAATAATCCAACCCATATTTAACCAATGTTTAGAAGTGAAATCAAATGTTTAAGTTTAGTTGTAGTATTTACCAATCGAAGTCTCAATTGTAAAACAATTTACTATGTCATACAATTGAGAAAAAACTCCTCGAGCAGTTGACCTCTTATTTAAACTTATTTTGAATAATGAGGAGTAAAATCTAAACATATCTGTTTTTTAACTAAGTAATTTTGGTAATATACGACACTTATAATAATTATAATTCCAGAGAGTATATTCTGGACCATACAAAAAGGCATTCTTTTTGACTAGTTTATATGTTATTCATACTAGAATGTCCATGTAAATCGATAAATGCAGTTAAATTACTTCCATATTTCTTGTATTAATCTTTAACTAGTCTCTTCATTGCTTGGACAGTAGGGAATAGAATTCCATCAGTCTATTTGAACTTCCTGTTCAAATCCTTTCCTGCTAAGCCAGTTCTATAATTGCCTAGAATAACTCCATCTGGATTCATCATAGGCACTACCTTTACTACGCATCTTGAATAGTTAATAAAATTAGATACTTCTCAAATAGTTTAAGCGCTGATTAACTTGATAGAAAATCCAATAGACCCTGCATTACCCACGAACCATTTGATTCGCCAGGATGGATTCGAGCTTAGAGAATCAAGCATTTCTTACTAAAACTTTTACCATTATTAAAAATTAGGATTGGTAATTGCACCCCTCCCAATGACTCACAAAATACTTTGCGTTTGACATTATTACATCTCCTTTCTAAATTATCACAATATTCTAATAATTAAGAAAATGTGTATGGAATACAATACGCAATCTTTAATAGTTCATTTTCTTTATTGCATTCAATGCAAAAGCTTAAACAATTATTATTTTGAAATTATTAATATGAGATGTTGTCTCCTCCTTATAACCATTCTTATGTTGTAGATCTCCAAATATAAGGTTTCATTCCTCGTTCATAAAGACGGTGGGATTTAGTGAAATTGCAAATATTCAATTGTATTTTTTCTCCTTTCTTCATACCGCTTAATTCAAAATTGTACCAAGAAGTGTGTCCTTAAGTGTTACCATCTACTCTCATATATAAATCAAACTCGAATTCTGACACTTAGACTACGATATCCAAGTTGCCACTCTCAAAAATGGAGTTGAATTTAATTCTACTAAAGCAATTAGGATTCATCCCTAAAAATGGAGATTATGGTTTGTTTTGGATTGCTATGGTTCGTTTAAATGGGTAAGATGAAAGAGCTGAATATTATTTATGCATTTAGATGCTATCTTAGGGTCTAAATCCAATATAGATTAGTTTATTGTTCTGGGAGGCTTCCAATACTATTTAGTCGTTTAATTAAGTATTGAAGTTCAGTGTCAGTAATTTGCTCTAATCCATTTTGGGTGTCCAGCCAAATAGCATGTCATTTTCGAGACTAAAGGATTCATCAGTGATGTTCAATGCTTTGGGAATTTGATTATGAAATGATTATATGTTCAAATCTCCATCTTAATTTAACATCAAATATATATATATATTATATATATTAAAATATGGGGAACTGCCAAAACTGTTTGTAACAAGAGTAGGAGCAAGTGGAAATTCAAATCAACAACCACACAGAGGAGGAAGTGTAAGCACCTTGTGAATAACCTCCTTTATTAAATTTAGATGTGAAAACTTGGTAAAAAGAATCTTACAGTCTTTACGATTATGAGAATAACACATTTATTCACTCTTAGCAAATCCCTATAAATGGCACTAGCTATCTTACTTGCAAAGCTCATAAAGTTTAATATAATGAAGGGAGCTACTCCAAAAATAAGTAAGCGTTGTGGTTATTTTTAGTGATAACAACGACGAAATACTCCTTCTTCCACTTGAATATGATAACGAATCCTTCCAATTAGTAAATTTGCGCTTCAACAAGAGACTCTAAACTCAAGAACTTGCCGAAGACTATCAAAAAGAAGTATTCATTCCCCATCGATATCTCATTAGGAAGGAGACAAACTTTTATCTGAAAACTAAACCATTCACGCAGACTTTCAAATGAGTTTTAATATACAGAAATTAAGAACCAACACTAATCGGCCATCTCCTAATGAGCCTAAGGGTTCCAAGATTTGGTTGGTTACTAGATCTATTTAAACTAACAGCATTAACGAAGGGTTGGTGCTCAAGATTGGAGATGTGATTAAATTAGGAAGAGTTAAATTAATTATTAAGGAAATTCAATTACAACATGAAACTAATTAAGATTAATTGAATGAAGAATCCATCTGTTCAATTGGAGATAAAAATGAATTTACAAAACAATGTCGAATCTGTCTCTCTACTGGGGAATCCACTCTAAATCCATTAATTGATCCTTGCAAATGCTGTGGAAGTACTAAATATGTTCATATCAATTGCTTGCTTAGATGGTATGAAATCTTATTCTATTTCGTTTAGGATTCAACAAAGTTCTCATTTTAATAGCAATGCCTACTGCACTAGATTTATTTGGAAATCTTTGGAATGTGAAATATGTAAGTCTGTCTACCCTCCAGTTTTTGAGAGGAATGGAAAATAATTCGACCTAATTGAATTAAGCAAACCTAAGGATAAACCGTTTATCATCATGGAATTCCAAAAAAAGAGGCAAAATGAAAGTCCTCAATCAACTGATAGTAATGGATTGTATATTGTGAATTTTGGTTCAAAAAAAGAACTCAAAATTGGGAGAAATCATGAAGTGGAAATCAGTATTGCTGATATCAGTGTTAGCAGAGAACACGCTCATATTAAATTAGTTGATAATAAAATTATCTTATCAGATAAGAGATCCAAATTTGGAACTTTGGTGCTCTTATAAAGAAATATCACCCTCACTCCACAATTATCCGGATTAGAATTGCAAATCAAACGTACTCTGATTAAATTGAATAATAACTTAATATCTTAAACAAGTCAGAAGCAAAGAGATTTTGAATTATACTTAGGAAGAAATGAATGATACACCTATTATTATTAATATGATTGCTGTTGTATTAAGTATTACAATATGTATATTCTTATTAATTATTAATTATCAATTGTTCAATATTCGATANATCTTACTTGCAAAGCTCATAAAGTTTAATATAATGAAGGGAGCTACTCCAAAAATAAGTAAGCGTTGTGGTTATTTTTAGTGATAACAACGACGAAATACTCCTTCTTCCACTTGAATATGATAACGAATCCTTCCAATTAGTAAATTTGCGCTTCAACAAGAGACTCTAAACTCAAGAACTTGCCGAAGACTATCAAAAAGAAGTATTCATTCCCCATCGATATCTCATTAGGAAGGAGACAAACTTTTATCTGAAAACTAAACCATTCACGCAGACTTTCAAATGAGTTTTAATATACAGAAATTAAGAACCAACACTAATCGGCCATCTCCTAATGAGCCTAAGGGTTCCAAGATTTGGTTGGTTACTAGATCTATTTAAACTAACAGCATTAACGAAGGGTTGGTGCTCAAGATTGGAGATGTGATTAAATTAGGAAGAGTTAAATTAATTATTAAGGAAATTCAATTACAACATGAAACTAATTAAGATTAATTGAATGAAGAATCCATCTGTTCAATTGGAGATAAAAATGAATTTACAAAACAATGTCGAATCTGTCTCTCTACTGGGGAATCCACTCTAAATCCATTAATTGATCCTTGCAAATGCTGTGGAAGTACTAAATATGTTCATATCAATTGCTTGCTTAGATGGTATGAAATCTTATTCTATTTCGTTTAGGATTCAACAAAGTTCTCATTTTAATAGCAATGCCTACTGCACTAGATTTATTTGGAAATCTTTGGAATGTGAAATATGTAAGTCTGTCTACCCTCCAGTTTTTGAGAGGAATGGAAAATAATTCGACCTAATTGAATTAAGCAAACCTAAGGATAAACCGTTTATCATCATGGAATTCCAAAAAAAGAGGCAAAATGAAAGTCCTCAATCAACTGATAGTAATGGATTGTATATTGTGAATTTTGGTTCAAAAAAAGAACTCAAAATTGGGAGAAATCATGAAGTGGAAATCAGTATTGCTGATATCAGTGTTAGCAGAGAACACGCTCATATTAAATTAGTTGATAATAAAATTATCTTATCAGATAAGAGATCCAAATTTGGAACTTTGGTGCTCTTATAAAGAAATATCACCCTCACTCCACAATTATCCGGATTAGAATTGCAAATCAAACGTACTCTGATTAAATTGAATAATAACTTAATATCTTAAACAAGTCAGAAGCAAAGAGATTTTGAATTATACTTAGGAAGAAATGAATGATACACCTATTATTATTAATATGATTGCTGTTGTATTAAGTATTACAATATGTATATTCTTATTAATTATTAATTATCAATTGTTCAATATTCGATATATGATCAATTTGAGGTTTCTTTTTCTAGAATAAGTAAACTACTCATTTCTTGCTTTTTTAATTATTACTTAGGATATTCGGTTGAATTCTATTAAATTATTTAATAAATAGAATGCATTCTTTTTAATTTATATTAAAATGGAGATTTTTCATTATCAAATTTTTTGAAATACCTGGATATCTATAATTTGGCTTATATTTTGATTGTGCTCCTGGTGAGAAAGTTTTGCCATAGTATTTTCAAATGAAAATAACCCCATAAAATATTCAAAAATGATAATTAACTAATTATAATTAATTAATAAAATATCTTTAAAATTTGAAAAAGGTAATTAAAAGTTCTTTTTTTTTGAAAAAACAATATTCTTTTTTCACACACATTTGTAACTTGACTTCATTAATTTTATTTATTCTTAAAGTACAGATGTCACTAAATCGAATTATACCTTTTTGAGATTTTCAAGTTCTTGTTAGCAGAGTTTAAGTTTAGAGTTAATTTCCTTTTCATTTTAAAATTACTTTTTTCTAATGTGAGGTTATATAGATTTTATTTTATCGCTTAGCAGTTTAAACTCCTCTTCTCTCTTCTCTATTTTCTCCTACTTGATTTCATTTTTGATAGATGCTATTTATTTCAGCATTTCAATCTACTTCTCGTAATCTTTCATAAATATGAATAACATACCCTTATCTATATTTTAAATGAACCCAAATTTTCGAAAGTTTTTGAGCACTAGTTTGGCTGTGGAAAAGTTTATTTTGCTTTTTTCAGCCGCATCTTTTATAGTCTAATTTTGGCAAAGTACTAATTGAAGAAATAAGACTTTTCTTTTAAATTTATCATGTCTTATTTTCTTCCTTTTCTCCTCTCTAAAATTAGTTTTCTCTTGCTATAACATAAATAAAACAAAAATGAAATAATTATTTATTTATAAAAATCTTCTAAGTTAATCCATTTACTTATTCAGGAAAATTCAAATATCAAGTTTTCGTCTGATGATTTTGATTTTCAATATAAATCAAATCTTTAAATATATTTTTATGATTACTGGCTAAATTCGAATTATCACTCAATACCTATCGTACTTGAAAAAATAGGGGTACTATATTAAACTATAATTCGAAAATAAAGTTATTGAATACACGAGAAAGAATTCTATATCGATTCAATAGCAAAGTTTTCCAAAATTATTTTATACTCAAAAGTGAAGCAATGTTAGTCATTTTATTCATTTTTCTCAAAAATAAATTGTTCTGCCCATTATACTAAATTACTTTATAATATAATTATAGTTACTTTAAGAACATTGGTCATTTCTTTTTTTTAAATTACATTTTAAACTTTGACTAAAAATATTAGTTTTTGCAATTATTTTGCATTATTACAAAATTTGGATTAAACTTTATAAAATCTCTTGTGGTTATTCAGTTAATGATTAACTTATCTTAGCATTGAAGACTATGAAATTTCATTTTAAATTGTATATACTCTTTGATAGAAGGTCATGTTATTTGCAAATTCAAAGACATTACAATTTATCAAGAGTAAGGTATTGATATACTCATTCAGACTTTTCCTGTCTGACAATTCATTAAATTAAATTATAATTATTTAAACAAAGGATTAAATAGAACAATACATTATAGAATTCTGTTCTTTTTTAGCTGATAAAAACCTAAGAATCGAACACCATATTGAGGCGGAATCATAACTTGGTTTAGTGAGATGATCCATAGTCAAGGGCAAATAAATTTTAGACAAATTTAAACCTACCTTATAAAACCAAGTCTAAGTTTTAAACTAAATTTTTAACAGATGTAACTTCTTGAAGATTTTGTCCTTATGAAATTACTTCTGAACTACTTATAAAAAGTGTTAAAGAACATTTTGAAATTTTTTAAATCTTTTCAAAATATATCTATGTTATTTTTGGATTGCTTAGTAAACTGATTCAGTATGAGACTTTAGAAAGGAGAAGAATTAATAGATTGGATTCTCTTATTATATGTTAAAATTTAAAAACTAAATTATTTAATTTACCTTTCCAAAACAATCCAAATTTTATGAAAGACGGGTCTGTACATATAAACAATTTATAAAAGAACAGAGGATAAAGTCTCAAGTTCGCTATAGGAAGATTTTTATAATAAACCAAGTTTTAGGAAGATGGCTTAATTCATTTAAATTTAAGGTAACACCTTTCCAATTTATTAATATATTAAGGAATTATTTTTAAAGAATAGGATGCAAGACTTTTGAGCAGAACAGGAGTTGTAATTTTGAACATATTAACCTACTTTGATCTTGGAAGACATTCATGATATTTAAGATTGTTTGTTCAGATAATTAAAAACATTCAAAAATTATAGTATTTTTCATAAGTGCTATTTAATTTTTGTTTGAATTTGTATTATCTATCAAGTATAGGTTTAGTTAGTTCACCAAAGTTTAAGGTATAGTTTTCCTCTTTTATTAAATTCTATGGTAATATACTTTACTTTAGAAAATCCCTAGATTTAATAATAATGATTACCATTTTCTTTCCTCAAAATCTAAAACTAAAGATTTGCCTGATATTCTTAGTGAATTTTCATTCATATGGAAAAGTCTATTTAAAAAATATTTATTTTTTTCAGATCCTCTTTAAATAGATAATCCAGAATATTGTTAGAATTTTTCAAATATGATCCCTTAGGTGTTTAGTGATTAATCTTTTGGAATAATGACTTTATCTTATTATGATTTGAGTTTAACATCATCCTCAGATTCGTCATCCTCACTCATTGAATCTTCGAAGGAGCATCCTAATTAGTATAATATTATTTACTAAGGAAATCTTTATCTGTAGTGAATTGATTATCTTGATTATTTGTATACCTATATTTCTCATTATGGAATTGATTTTATTCAGCGAATAATCTCCTGGCTCTCATTTTTTTAAATTCTTCTTCATGGATATCTTGTTACTTAGTAGTGACCATAGTTTACTTTCTATGAACATCAGGGGATTCATTTTCTTCTGCATTCTTAGTATTTTTATTTCTTTATCTTTTCCTTGTGTAATTATCTCCAAGTAGAATGTCTTCGTCTTTGATAACCGAGATTTAAGTATCTGCTTTGGTTATGAATTCTACTAGATCATCATTCAATTTGATAGAATCCTCATTTTGAAGTGTCTTGTGTAATTTACTATTTTTGAATTCTTATTAATGCTCTTTTTCAAGTTGAATAAGATCACTCGCCAAAAATCCTACAACTGAATTCTATAGATTATTGTTTGAATATTGAATAAATGTGTATTGTTCTGTTGTTATATTAGACTACATATTATTGTATTTGATATTTGACACTTCCTCAGAATAAATCTTAGATCTATTTTCAGTTGATGATTTTGTTGATTCAGAAACTGTACTATAATTTTACACAAAAACTGAGGATTTGCCATCATAGTTCCTTCTTTTGGTTTTGGCCTCTAGGGAATTCAGGAATTAGGTCTTCTTTGACTTTTCTAATAGTGACTTATCTTACACATCTACTTTGTAGAGACTCTCCTATTTATTGGATGTCATGAGTTATTTTAGGATTTCGGAATCTTCAAATTCAAATTGGTCCCCACCCTATTTGTCGTCATTTAAATAAGCATCAATATATTTTTTAGCCAATTCATTTTCTGCCAGAATCTTCTTGACCCACTAATTTTCCAATTACCCAAATTGTTAATCAAGATCTTTGAGTAGTTGCAGAGTAGGTTTATCGTACATGTGATAGATGAAATAGTAAATCTTGCCAATCAGGGTAGGATTCTGACTGACCAGCGGTTTTAGGACTTTGAGCATTTGTCCTTAAAGTTTGGCCAATTCATCAAAGGACACCTACAAAGCATCTTGATATCTCTCAGCAAGAGTTTTGATTGTGAATTTGTTTGACAATCTGATTTATTCGGTTGCGAGGGATTTTGGTTAAATCACATTTTGATTCAAACTAATCAAGAATTTGTAGAGACGGATGAAACTAGCATACAATCTATATTCGAGGAAGTTTGGAATGAAATTCAAATTCCAAAACATTATGGAATAGATCTTTTCACAATCTATGAATGCAATCACACTTCTCACCCATCTTAGAAAGGGCTCCTTTGAGTTTTCAAGCAAGGGTAAGATGAATGTAGAAATGATCAAGTGATTTTTCTGCAATGTCTACTACAATACCTTATGCACATTATCTAATGACAATTGAGGTTCATTTGGAAGCAGATTGAAATCAGGATTGACAATCTAAACAAAGTTGATTCATGATACCAACTGATTCAGGAAATCATAGTATGGAACTTTGAAGAAATCCTTATCGAAAGACTCTTGATCATACTTTGAAAACCAATGGTCATAACTATTTTCCATCATTAATTTAATTGCATATATAAAATTCAACTGCCAAAGTCATATTTCAAAGACAAACAAACTGTTTACCAAACTCAATTCAGTACTCAGATCATTTCCATGCATTCATTATTATTATATATATTATTTATTTATATATATAATCCAATAAGAAAATGAAAAAAGCAACTGATGGTGCTTTATGTATAACTTCAATCTGTATCCATAGTTGAGAATGAATACCTTGCCTTCTAAGAAGATAAGTTATTCGCCAAAATGAGGAAAAAACAAGTATGACTTCGTTTATAATGGAGGAACGAGAATTGGAGTAATTGAAATTGTATGAGCGATAAAAGGCAGAATAGGAGAAACGCAAGTTCTCCATCCTCGAATAGACCAAATCTAAACAATAGTAAATTGAATAGACTCTGAAGGAGAAGAAATTATTGGTAACATACAGTCAATATTATTTTTAGATAGAGTTGAAGAAGAAGGAGAAAGAGAAAGAGAAGTTGCTTAAAATCCAAAAAGTAGAACAGGAACATTTGAAGGAATTAGCCTAAAATGAATTATCAAAAGATTAAGTCATGGAGTAACTCAAAAGCAATTAAAACAAAGAGGAAACCATTTTGGCTAATCCAAATAAGAAATCAAATGTTAAAAAGTATTACTTGCAATCCATTTTAGAATAGCTGAAGGAATAGTCAAAACTCAATAGGAAGAGATTCTAATCAAAAAAATGCAATTGGATAAGAATTAGAAAGAATAGGAGGAATTGTGGAAGGAATTGAATGACAATAAGGAATAGCTATTTAATGAATTGAAATTGGCTAAGTAGAAATAAATTAAGAAGATCAAATAGAGAAATGAAGATGAGAAAAATGCTTATTATCAGGAATAACTGTAGAAGATAGAATAATATAAAAAGAAATTAGATGACATCGAACTTAATCAATTAACTAAATAGGAATTATTGGAACAGAAGAAAAAAGAAAAGTTAGAAAAATTGAAAAAAGTTATGGTATTGATCCATCATTTATTGAATTTAGTAAAACTATAAGAAAATTATGTCAGAAAAAAGTGAGAAGGCCTAATTGAAAGTATAACAAGTTGAGGAGAAGATCAATCTGATATAAGACAGAATGAAATAGGCAGAAGATAAGATAGAGTAATATGAAAAGGATAAAAATAATCATAGAAAGAATGTACTATAGATAGTTAATCGTAGATTAAATCAAAGAACGGCAACATTCTAAATAATAAGAATGAAACATTTCAAGAGAAGTTAAGATAAAAGGATGAGGAGCATTTAAAATCTATTACTGAAACTTAATCCTTATCTAGATTGAAGTAAGAGCAGGAAAGGCAGAAAAAGGAAGAATAGATTAAGGAACATAAAAAAAAAGCTGCAGAAATGCTTAAAGATATTGTGGAAACAAAAAATAAAAAATTATAAGAGAAACTAGAAAAAGCACAACAATTTAAGGATGATAAAGAGAAATTATTCTAATAACAATAAATGCTAGCCAAAGACATTGAGCGTTAAAAAAAATAAATATTACTGAAGAGTCCTAAAAACAATCATGTAGATTAGTGAATGTTAATTTTAGTTATATATTAAATTGTATAAAATATAAAATATTAATGTAGTAGTAATAATAATAGCAATAATAGCCGAGAGCAAGAACAAAGGAAAGATATGTTTTTGAAGCTATGAATCTAGTTAAATTGTGGAGGTTTAAGATTTACTTACTCTAATTAGATAGATTTATGAAACTGAGACAAGAATTGTAGATGGAAGAACTGTAAGAATTACGTTAGATCAAGCAGCTGAATTGGTGGGATGTCCAAGGAAAACACTTGAAGATTATTATTATCTATTGAAAAAGGCTTAAAATTTAAGTAATTTGCATATAATCTTATTTAGTTAATCTCGAGGAGAAAAAAAATGAAAAGATGGGTTTTATAAGGAAGATTTGTAAAGAAAATAAAAAGCAGCAATAATAATTATGGTGGGAAGAAGAATTTTACCAAATAAATTAATTTTAAATGGACGAGATTCATGATGATTGATATAATAGTTAAAACACTTTAAATTAATATTATGTGCTTTTAACAATAATATTAACAACACATGTATTTATTCATAATAATGGTCTTATTATGAGAAAATTAATTCTGTAACTTTATAAGTGCAAAATATAATTCAATTTTAAATATCAGGCAATAAGTAACTATAGATATAAACTTCTCTTTTTTCAGTCATTCTATAAACAAAGAAGTTTCTCATCTTCTTTGTTTTTGGATTCAGAAATTCTAAAAGTAAACTAATGTGTCACATCTTTAAATTAGAATATTGACTTTTACATAAATTATATAATAATCGAAAGGCAATTATAATAAAAGTTAATTGAGCTTAAGTTAATGTAGATATTTTAATTATGAATCTGATTTCATTGTTGCTATTTGTTGCAATACTAACGACACCTTGTTTTTAGAAATGCAGCTCAAAAGTAGACTCCCTGACAGTCTATGCAACAAAGGATGAAAAATTGAATTGGAATTTGATGGATGAATTCTTTAATGGAGCAGGGTTGACATTCTCCTTAAGTGATATCTAGTAGAACTCATTCAAGATAGTAGAGCCAGTTGAAAACACAGGCGGTTCAGCTTTATATTCTTAGGGTAATTAGAAAATGATTAAACATTATTAGCTGCCACTAAGATTGTATCATCAAGAGCATTAAAATCAAATAAGTATTGGGTGAATTCATTCGTATTTTTAAACAAGGGAACGACATCAATAACATTGGCAATAGCATACGGGTACAAGGGATAATTAATAATATAGAGAAGCAGGTCAGAGTGTGACAGCTCCTAAGTTTGATGAGATCGTGACTTTGAATTCGATTGAGGATAGTTTGGATTGTTATGATTTAGAATTTATAGCTGATAACACCTTTATAGTGGATTGTTCAAAAATAGTAAAGGGTGCAATAAAAAATGTATTATATTATGTGAATGATGGAGATTCATATGAATATTTGATAGAAGATGTATTGGCACAGGCAAACCATGGACGTTTACTAGGCTAATACAAAGTAAAGGGATAAGGTGAGAAGGAATACAGGTATTTAGTGAGAGCAACTCCGTCATATTCAATGTCTAAAGACGGGTCTCTGGGTGGAGATTCGTTGTTGGAAGTGTTCTTATTGAATGATAAGGGTTAGCCGTCCAATACAGGATATGTCTTAGACGGAGTGACTATGGGTTTGTTGTTGGATAAATACTATGATTTTGAGTTCAATATAGTGGATATGAAGGTGTTGGAGAACGGAGATATATATTTATTGGATGCTTAATATGGCATATTCATAGTGAATTTCATTCCTAATGGCACATTCTCATTGAAGAAATCTATTGATACAGGAATGAGTTTTGCTTATGCATTTGATAGAAACTTCTTCTTGAGAAGGGATGGCACTCACACTGAGAATATTGCTGTATTGGGTTATGGATTTGTCGAATTAATTGTAGATGGTCAATTAGAATCAGAATACAAATTGCCTGCTGGGATTCATTATACATTCCCAGGCAATGTTGATTTATCATAAGAGTTCATAGTAGTCAGACAAGCAGATGCAACTTATCTTTTTGATATAGATGCAAAGTCAAACGACTTATTACAATTACAGGTGATTCCATAAACTAATTATGTTATAATTAATCCATTCTTGCCAGATATGATAGTGTTGACCATGGATACAGCCTACAGATACACCTTATCATAAGGATATCTACAATACAAAGGTTCTGAGGATGTGTAAGAAAAGAAGATGATTGAAGTAATAGCAACAAGTGTTGACCAAACTTGTAAGGTTCAACTTACCTATCAGATTATTGAAAGTGATGATAAACAACTATACAAATACAGTGACACTCTCACTCCATTCCCAAATCAAGTAACTGAAGATGCAGAACCTTTCTAATTGAATGTACTAACAAGTGGTCCTAATGAGTAATACAAATAAATTGTGGGAATGAAAGAGGATGGAACTGCTGTTACAGTCTCATTGAAAACCTATTGGGAGTTGAATTTCCCTCAAGAATTACAAAAAGACCTCTTATTCCATGATGTATTGGTTGGAACTCAATCATCATATTTCTATTTGGCTCAATAAAATAAAGATGGCAAATTAACTATTCTCAAGGTTATTCATGATTCGATCTTCAATGGTGATGCCACATACGAGAAGGTCTTTGATAGTGTGAGTATTGGTACTAAATTGACTAAATCAACATTCCAAATGTGGGAATGTGAATGTCCCAAATTCCACTTTGCTTATGTTGAGAATAGACAACTTAATCTTAAAGTATTCTCTGATAATTAAGTCAAAGATATTAAAACGATCCCATTCGAGAATGGTCTTAGCATATTGTTCTTAAAGAATTACCTCTTCCTATTGTAAAATGGCAATGTTCATGCCTATACAGAACATGGAGACTTTGTTAAGTCTGTTGATTTGGATTTATTAGTAGAATAAGGTTACAAGGGAACTTGGGCACCCAAGAAAATCTATGGTAATAGAAAAATAAGAGAAAATCTTATATTTATAGTTCATGAGGATCACATCACATTGATTGACTTTCATATCTCATACACTTTCATCAAATAAATTGCCATTGATGAATCTGATAATATTGAAATTGCAATTGGAGCAGAGACCTTTTTCATAATCACTGACTAAGTCATAGAATATGATTTTGATAGATTGAACAATATTTATTAGACCAAAACAGTCTAATTATATGATTTTGAATTAATCCAACCTATCTTAGGTGATTTTTGTTCAGACACAGGTTATCTCTTTGTACTTGCTAAAACTAAGAGTTAAGCAATCAAAGAAGTCACTAATAAGTATCACCTTTTGGTCATTCAACCTAATACACTTTAACATGAAGCATTATTCTAAGCTGTACCAATTGAGGAACCCTAATTAATTTCAACGTAAGGAACATCATCTCAAATGTATGTCTATCTTCAAACTAAGACTTCCACTCATGTCTACTCTATGTTGACTAATCCTGTCTTAATTATTGAACCTTCAATCAATGATCCATAATTTGCAGCATCAGTCGATGTTTCTGTCATGATCTATAACTTTGATGACACACCTTCCATCACTATCAAATAGCCTATCAAAGTTATCAATACCTAAACCAAATTGTACATTGATAAAAATAAATTCAAAGCCAGTTCAATTGAAATAGATTCTAAAGACTACGTTAAAAAAGAAAAGAAATTAGGAAGTGATTGGTATAGTGGTCAAATCTCTGAATTCCAAATCATCTGTGAATAATGCAATAAAGGAAAATATGGAGTTCAAATAACTTAAACTGTTGAACTAGCCAATGTTCAATTTTACAAGCCATACAAAATTAGATCCATCAATAACAACATTGTATAAGCCATAGATGCATTAATCTTCTTAAATGATGATGACACTTAATAAGAAATTGTCTCATTAGATTTCCCCACTGAAGAGTATTCGTGTTTCTAATCCACCTAATTAGATGATTTGATCCTCAGTTTATGTCACGATGGAAATCAATACACTATATATGCCACTAGCGGTATTAGTTTGACAGGCTGGTTTCCTCTTGGTGAAGTCCTGAAATTAAATAGACATACCAAAAAGATTGAACTACTTCAAAACGACTACCTAATTGTTTTGGATAAAGAATCATTTGTTATTTCTAAAATCAACATGGACGATCAAGACAATTGGGTTTTGGATGAAGAGTACGCAATCAATATAAATCACATTCAAACTAAATATGAAGAATTGTTAACCTTCACGCCCAATGATTTCCTTATCACACCAGTCAATAAAGTTGATGGTATTCAATATTATAAAGTGCTTATTACAAGTGGAGAGGGTATCTTCTTCTAAGATTTCTACTTCTAGAATAAACAATTTACAACAGTGAATTTAGAATATGTAAATTTAACAACCGAATTATAAAAAATTCAATAATATGCCATCAGTTCCACTTAATACTTGTTGGTCAAAGAATTGTAATCATTTTCTGGTAACACCTTAAATGTTTTCATACAAACAAACAATGTAGTTCATTATGGTTTGAAGATTTAGTTGGCCATCAAGGAAGGACAATAATATTTAATATACAAAAGTGTGGAAAGCCAATTCTTATTGAATCGATATGGTAATTGGAATTCTGTGAGAAATGTAGCTGTGTCCAAGAGTCATGCTGCAATTCCATATTAAAATCAAGATAAGATTGTGATAGCCATATACAAAATTGGAGAATCAACGAAACCATCTACAGCTATTGGTAGTTTCAGTTTCACATAAGATGCTTCTACATTTAACCCATTAGATTTTGGTTTATTCTTTAGAAATGATAAACTGTATGCCAATTCACCTTCTAGTGATACACAATAATATTAGATCAATGCAGAACCCTCCTTAATCTTCACTTAAACAGCTGATAATCCATTGAAATCAGAGAAGGTAGACATCAAAGTGAGGAATGATTTCAGTTAATCCCAGATCGATTTTGATTTGAAGATTATTGTAAATCCAGATCCCCCTGGTCCTGGTCCAGATCCTCCTGGTCCTGAACCTGAATAAAGGTATCATGTTATATCAATCATAGTTCAAAATTGTGGTGGATCATTTTGATTATTGTGGGCGGTTTATTGATAGCTGGATTTATTGGGTTTATTATTTATCGGGCAAAAAATAAGGCTGTTGAAGATGAATATAATGTCGTAGCTTGAGATAATGTATTAAAATTTAGATTATTAAATGTGTAATGATTAATAAAATAATCATGTCTTACAAATATTATGAGGCATTCGTATCCTCCAAGAATAAATCTATTCCTTGTTGCAATAGTATAAACTGCAATCTCTGTCAAGGCAAATACTACGTCTAAGTCTAATAGGATGACATCAATCTGATTGATAGATTGATATAGGATAAATTACAAAGCAGAATGGCAGAGATCTAATCGAACATAAGAGTCAATACAATTGACTAATTCTTAGATTATCATCAACGCAAGTACAATTACCAACTCATTTATCTATTTGAAAATCTCACCAAAGGCAAACCTGAATATCCAATCAATTTCAACTTCAGGTATAAAAACAATGGAACCATTGATTGGCCCAACGATACCTATTTCAAATGTCTGGAGCCTGGAAAATTCAAAGACCTCATATCTTATGTTACTCCCCTACCATCTGGGGCTGAAGCAACATCAGAAATTTCATTTAAAATGCCTCTTTTGAAACAAGGAGAATACAAGACTAAGTGGCGCTTGTGTTGTAAAAGGAACCAAGAAGAAGTCTTCTTTGGTCCCACTATCGAAATTCCCTGCACAATCGAAGAGTCCATAGCTGATGCCAACCTTCTTCTGCTCGAAGAACTTTAAAATAAGGGCCCTTCTTGGACAGCCATATTGGATTTCAATAAGGCAGCCATGATACTCTAAGAAACTAAAGACCAAAAATTAACCATGGATTAACTATATAATTTGTTATTAAAGGAGCAAAATTGAAAATTAACTTATTTCCTATATAACCAAAACACATCACATATATCACTGTTATACACACTCTAAATCCCCTTCCTTAGGTTTCTTCTTGTTTAACTTGTCGAACTCCTGCCTAATCTAATACTCTCTTTCCAGGATTTGATCTGGTTTCGGGTACTAATAAATAAAGAATGATGCTGTACAGACACAATTAGAGTATTATTCTTATAGACATGAGTGACCTTCCCCTGTTCGAGCTTGAGATTTGCTCTCCTCATATCAGGAATAGCGAATCTCTTATAGTACTTTTTATTGGATGTTCTAATCACAATTTCTTGAGTTGCCTCATCCACTTCCACTTGATAAACATCTTCTGGGTAATTCAGATTACGAACTCTATATTGGAAGTGCTGAGGAGTGTCCTTCCTAACAAATATGGGCTTCCATATTTTAAATAGTTACATTTGCATTTGATAATTTCAACTCGCTTTATTGATCGATTGGAGCTTCTCCAACTTCGTAAATCCATTGGGATTCCTTAATATTGGATACTCTTTTCCATTTCCTACCTGTTAGTTGGTTATTATTCAAAACTTACTAATTAATTCATGATTGTTGATATCATATTCCTCTACAAGTTCACTTTTGTCTTCGAATGTATAATTTACTCTTCTCCTGCCACCTGCTATGACTGCGGTAATATGTGGTTTTCCTACAAATTAGAGATATTGATTATTTTGGGATTGCATCTCTATTTAAAATATTATAATAAATAGTTAATCGATTTCATTGATGAGTGTGGATGATAGTGAACTTAAGTACAACTCTGTATAAAATAACAGTCATATAAAACTATGTATCAAATATCAAGTTATTTTATCTTATTTCTGATTTCGATGTAGTGTCCAAAGGTCAGACGCACTGGTTTGCCATCAGCTATTTATTCGATTTTAGAATCTACAGCAAATCCATAATGATCATCGAAACACTCTTGAATGAGGGAGGCTAATTAAAAGTATGTGATCAAGTAATCCAATAATATTACTCCTCCTTCGATGTCTGTTGGCAATAGCTATTGGGTATCTTGGAATGTGATCTTCTATTCGAGTTAGTATTCAATCTCTTTGATTGCACTTCTGAGAATGGAGTTGAGAATTATGTAAAAAGATTCATACTCAGTAAAATTGTCATCAAAAATTGCATCGAACTTTTTGTCGACAATCAACAATTATTTTTATTCTGGATTCTATAGACATAACCATACAGTGTTGAATTGTAAAGTGTATTTTTGATTATACTAATTGATGGCTGAACTCAACCTACTAAACTAAGGATTCTAGATATACTCTTAGAACTTATCTAAATTAAGAGCATTGTGACCATCAATGACTTCTTTGAGATTGTTCATTTTGACCATTATGTTCTTGTTCACTAGAAACAACAACTTCTCTCTCAGATATTGAGTAGTAACAAATCGATATTTGTCAATTAATGCTGCCACTCTATATAAGTATCTGCAAAAGTTCATTTAAGCTACAATTATGTAATCATTTTTCTTATTTTCATTCCATTCCTCATCTCTCTAACTAGAGTATTCCTGATTCATAGATTAATTCACTTGTGATTCCTTCCTTGATTCTTACACCCTTTTAATCGATTTGAGAGGTTGTTACTAAATACACCCCTGTTATTATCTAGCCATTGAGGATGTATTTTCTTTTCCATAAGTGCTTTCCCTTGGTTACATCAACATCTACTATTTATTATGAGCCTCCCCTAAAGGAGATGTTGTATTGACACAACCATTACTTTGGATATTGTGGAATTGAATATGATTTTGTTAACCACCATAACTACCTCTAAAAACACCCTGAAATCCATTCCCCTTAATTACTTGTAATTCTTATCTTTGTAACCAAACATGTCTCTCTAATTCTTCAACTGTTGCTCTTCTGTTCTCATCAACTGCCAGACATCTCTGAATAAAGTCTCGGCATTCATCTGAGATATGTCCTGGAAAATTCACAGGCACTGTAGCCATCCTCTAAGCCAATTCTCTCTCGCTCCCTGCTTGCCATGGAACTTACCCAAAAAGCAATTCAAATAAACTAACACCGAGAGCCCAAATATCAGACTTTTCAGAATATCTATTTTTAAATGCCTGAGGACTCATGTACAATGGTGATCCTACATTTACATTGGGCATTGTGGCAATAGTCTAAGGAGTAGTGGCAAATCCAAAATCAGCTATCTTAGGAATTAGTCCTTTTAATAGAATATTGGCTGGTTTGAGATCTCTATGCACAATCCCTAAGATAACAGGATCAATTTACCCTTTTGCTTCATCTATTTATATCCCTAGATTATTCCTTAGAATAACCTTTGTAACTGTGATTCTTTCTACGCTCCTTATTTGGTTAATAATGACCCCAAATCCCCAGAGTCACAATACTCTGTTATTAGGTAGGTATTGTTCTCAGTGTAGTAAACCTTGTATAATCTCATGATATTATTTGAGTTTAGTTGGGATAGTGCTTCCACTTCTGACCTCAATAATTGATAATGCAAGGGTGTTTTAAGTCCCTTTTTATCAATGACCTTGATTGCCACAATTTCATTAGTTTCATCGTTCCTACCTCTATACACAATAGAACTGAAACCCTTTCCAATGGCATCTGTAAGTGCATAGCTGAAGTTCTCAATAACCTTTCTCGCATTGCTCGGAACAGGTGTCATTGGCATTTATCTTTATTGCTGTTAGACCAACATTGTGTAGTTTATTTTTTAATTTTTAATTTCAACGGTAAAAGAACAAATAGGTTATCCTATTAAACTCTTTTACTATTTATAAATTATCTTAGGTATTTAACAATGTGAATAATATATCATTTCAAACACTTCTCCTGCAAGAGGTCCTTGTATTTAGACGTACCTGGTAAACCATCGTCCATAACCAATCTAAACAGATTATTTGAACTGATCTTTATGTTTGGTTCCAACCTACTATAATAAGCTTGATGAATCTCTTAGCCCAATTTCTGATTTACCAGATCTTTGATTCTTGATTTCCCTTTCAATAGCTTCTCTAAAACACTATCAATTATCTTTCTAAATCTTATATATCTACTTCTTAGATAGGCATTGGATATTTCCACCATATCTTAGACCATTTTCGTATGTTGCTTTAGTCGTGCCTAAGTAGTCTTGAGAGTCTATGGATTGTAATTGATTTCCATTATATGAAGTTTGAGGTCATCTGTTAAGAGGAAGTCAGCAGCAAAGAACTCTCCTAATTTGCTATCTTTGATAAATGTATTTTAAGTGCTTCTGATTGCGTGAATAATCATTCTATCAACTTAAGGCAACAATTCTTATTTTAACCATTTTCTATTCTTTATTTTACCCTATTTCAACAAGACTTCTTATAAATAATCAAGTTTCCAATCTATATAAAGATCTTAAAAATTATTTTGATCAGAAATAGTTTTATTAATATTTTAGGCCTAATTAATAGTAGTATTAATAGTTTTTGTTGTTTAGGTTGCAGTTGTAGTTTTTTGTGTAGTTGTTGTAGTTGTTGTAGTTGAAGTAATAAGTTCATCATTATCATCGTTATCATTCTCATCATTTTCGTCATTTTCTTACTCCTTTAATATCGAATGTAAAGTCTTCTTAACAATTGCTGTATTACAAACATGAGCTCCTTTGAGTGTTGAGAATTTATCAAATGGATAAATACATCTCCTTATAAGCGTTTTATCATATGCATATGCAATCAAGGGATTCGTAGATGCTACAATCCAATAAACCCTAAACTCTATTTTATGTCCCTTAAATAATAATGGATTCCCTATGTATTATTAAGCCACTTTATAGGTTTAAATCACTCCACAACCTAATCCATTCTGAAATTTCTCCTTCAACTTTTCAGTTTCATCCGGAAACAACATTGTTATGCCTCTTCCTCTATGGACTTCTAATCCCATTTTAACAATAAATTAAGGTCCCTCTTTATCTACTTTTTTCTGATACTCGGTCGAATTCAAGTAGGAGAAAAACTCCTTACATTCAGACTCTTCAAAAAGTCGATAGGATTTGGGCATAAAAGTGGCATTGGCCTAAATATTATCAAATCTATTACAATGCAATCCTTATGAAGACCTTTATTTTTGATATCATTTAAATAATTGAGTTAATTGGTCATCAACTAATTTTTATGGGATAAGGAGGATCTTTAAGGTAAATGGTTATAATTTTGAAAGAGACACAATGAACCTATTGTTAATGTTAAATAATATACTTTAACCTACTTTAAATGTAAATAGTAATTAATCATAATAAGTGTATGGTAGTGTTAATTACAAGGGAAATTTATATTTATGAGGTGCTAAAATTGATGCTATGCTTACTTTCTTTGTTCCTTTTGTGGAGTGTGACATTTGGCAATACGTCGAAAAAGTGTTGTTAAAGTGCTTGTTTTACTAGACCTGAATATTCTCTAAATGTATAGGTATCCAACATTATGGAATCAGGATGGTAATATTTGTATGTATCTGAATGGATGCAGTAATCATTTTCAGGTTATACAAGAAGCGAATTGAACTACTAAGAAATAATTAGTTACTTCTCTATCATATGACTAAGGATTATAATAATTTTATGATATAAACTTATTCAAGAAACCAATTAATATTTCAACATCCTTTTGTTATTTATAGGTGACTATTTATGTGTACAATAAACCTATGAATGTTAATGATAGGGAAGAAACTAAAAAAGTAATTATATTTGCTATCATAATTAATAATAATTACACGTAAATATTTAATTTCAATTACAATTCGAGATTTTTAGTTGATACTCAATGAATGGATTCTTATGTAGTATTTGCTTTGTAATAATAGATTCTAATAAACTCAGGCCAAATACTTAAATTACATCAATTTACTAATTTTTTGAATTAATGAGAAGAGATATTATCTATACATAACTACATAGATGGAAGTCCAATTGTCATAGTTTAAGGGGGATAATGCCTATTTTAAACTAAATGAGTAAAAATTAACTGAAAGATTTTGCCAGATTCACATGAGTTAATTATTAAATAAATTTAATATAGAACTGATAATTAGTAAAGAAATATTATTGTAAAAGTAATTAAGAATTATACTTATACTAATTTAAAAAATTATACTTTGAGATTTAGATTATCCTTATTTATTTACAAATTTTAAATTAGCTAAATAGAGAATAATATAATATAAATACTACTTGAAACAATATCTGGCTAATATTCTAAAATCTCTGTTTATGAGTTTATTAGATCACAGACATAGCATAATTGAGATTATGATTGAATAATTTATTTAGACCTCTATTTATTATTGCAAAATTTCATAATTCCGAAAATAGTTAATTAGGTTATAAATAATACTATGATTTTCAATTAAAATATTTATAAATAAATATGTTTTATGGTATATAATTATCTGCAGGGGAATCATAAACTATTCAGAAGAGAGATGACCACAATTAATTCGTATTATCATAAGCAGTTTTGGTTAAAGGAACCAACCTTAATGTATTAATGAATGGAATAGTCATAGCCTCATTGAATCAAGTATGATTATATTGCTCCATAGAAAATCTCCTAAATGCCTCTTAGAATTAAGATCACGCCTGAATAATAACCAGCAAAGCTTGAAGCTAAAGGAAATGGATCTGTTCATCTTTGTGGATATTACATGCAATTTGATTTAGAAAATGAAGATGCCGATTTACAATCAGTGGCCCAATTGCTAAAATAAAGTAATCAAACCACTCAAACTCCAGTCCAAAAGGCACCTGCTGTTCCCATTAAGAAAACTGAAACCTAACCAAAATGGGATGAAATGGATTGGGAAGATGAATAATTCTAAAAGAGAGTTAAATGATATATATTAAGAATGTGTAATATTAATATGTGACACTTTATACATAATATTAATTATAAATATGATCACAATTTTGTATATTATATAAGAAAATTCAAAAATATTAGTTATTTCTATATTACTTTTTCAAATCTAAGCAATTTTTGAATTACAAATTGTAAGAAAGTACTCTTTTACTTAATCTGAAAATACTAAAAATAATACAATATAAGTATTGTAATATTGAATTCAATTATATTTTAATTCTCCATTAATAAAGAGTAAAATAAACTCCTATGCAGAACTAGATATTGATAGAATTATAAAAACATCTCCCAAATCTAAGTATCGAATTTAAAAATAACTTGATAATTACAGTATATTAAGAACTTATACATATATATTTTCAAGCTAAGTTATAAGTAAAACATAATTTCAAATCTTTATGTATCATGTTATTTAAATATAAACAGTTTTGGTATGAGGTAGATGTCTTTCTTCTGCAATATCGATATAGATAGTAGTAATTTAAATATTTTCAATTGGCTGTAGTAATATAAGAGTAAAACCCTTATACTTGAGTAATAACATATATGTTAATATTAGCGAGTTGAAGGTGGTGCAATTTGATGGATTAGTCATTTCAGAAGAGATTATCTTGGTAATGATGTTAATGATAAGATGATGTCCTTAAAATGATTGTACTCTCTATAAATATATGATGCAAATTAATGCAATAAATTATAATTAATGAAACAAAATAAAGTTCGCACAAAGTCTTAACATGATTGTTGGGATTAGAGTGAATTGGGTTACAAGAAAATAATTGTAGATGATTCTCCTTTGGATTTCCATCAAAAAAGACACTTACTGTAGTAATTACAACAGAATTTAAAGACAACCAGCATGTCATTTAGTAAAGTAATTATTGCAAATCTAGAAATAAGTCTTAAGCAACATCGAGATTACTGATATATCTAAATGATATGATGACGAAATTGACTCAAATAGAATCAAATCTTGATTTGAAAGAATGCTAGACTTTAGAACATCTCATTCAAGACATGGTGCAATAGTACTCATCAATTCCAATACTAAACCAATCACAATCGAAACTCAGATTGCAACAACCTTAAAAGTAATGGAATGTTAGTGTGAAGTAAGATTAGTTCCGATAATAAAACTAGATAATTGGAATCTTAGATCCATCAATGTGTAATTGTTTTGAATAAATTCCTGATGGATTTGGATTACTCGCATTTGAAAGTGTTCCAAATATTCATGAATAAACAAATCTAGTATCTCTTATGTTGTTATGTAGACATTTACAAAAAAAGAAAGATCAAATATTAAAAGACAATCTTTCAGTGTGTAGAATTTGTGACTAGGAAATAAATATGAATACAATGTAATAACATAGTTAAGGTTGTTTAGAAAAGGCAAACATTAAAAAATTATTAGTTTAAGAGAACTTAATACTTGCTTCTATTTCAGAAAAAGCATATCAAGTAAAGCATGACATTCAAGTCAAATAAGGAATGAAATTGTAACCCTTATTATTATTATTAAATACTAGAATGAAGGAATTGAAGAATCAATCTAAAAGAGTAGTAAGACAAGATGACGTTAAAGAAGAAGAGTTGGGATCAATCAATTAAGCATTATCATCAATATATCAACATGCAGAAAAGATATTCAATCAACCTGAAAATGAAGAACTCAAATGTATCCAATTTCTTATATCATTAAGCCAATATGTTATTAGTCTCAGAATTATCAATAGCATTGTTAAACATATCTCATTAATAGAGTAAATAGATTATAATTGATGCATAAAATTCATTAAAAAATAGAATTGAACATCTCAAAAAGATCCAATTAATACAAAATAAAGAAACAGAATCCTAAATAGATTCCATCAAAAAGAATTTCCTCAACAAAGCTAACTCCATCTCCTTCATCCACTCCAAGTTTTCTAATCAATTAAATCAAAATCCTTTGATGAAATAGGGTTCCCTTCAACCAAAATCCAAAGCAGTCAAAAATCTATTTGAAAAAACCAAGACTGTTCATTTAACTCCAGATGTTCCCACTAGACCATAATAGATATAAAAATTGAGTAAATTTAAAATGGAGAAATAGAAAGAGGACGAAGAAGAAGATGAAGATGATTTCACTTCCAAATAAATACTTAAAACAGAAGTCATAGAAGATGATGATGTTGATATGAATGTCTAAAAGGAAATCTTCAAAGAAAAAGGATATAATTCTGATAGTGAAGTTGTCACTTTCAAAGAAAGTCAAAATAATACCACAGTAAGAATGGCTGATTTTGATATTATTAAACCATTAGGCCAAGGTGCTTTTGGAGGAGTCTTACTGTGCAAGAAGAAGACATCCCAAGATTTATACGCAATCAAAATTATCGATTGTGCTAATTCCTCATTGGAAACTCTTAAGGCAGAACGTAATATCTTCGAAATATTGACTGGTGACTTTGTGGTTAAAGCCTACTATTCCTTTGTTCACGATCACTACTATTGTTTTGTTTAAGAGTATATGGTTGGAGGGGACTTCGCCAATATTCTCAAAGTGTATGGTGCACTTGATGAAGCCTATGTTCAATTCTACTTGGCTGAGATTGTCTTAGCCTTGGAATACTTGAGGAAGAATAACATTGTTCACAGAGACTTAAAACCTGATAACATACTATTAGATTGTTAAGGTCATGCCAAATTGGCTGATTTTGGGCTCTCTGCCTAAGGTATGAACACAAAATTGAAGAAGTAATTGCAAAGGTAGTAGAATTTTAAAATTAAAGGAATTGTTGGAGATATGATTCAAAATCTTCAAATCAATTATGAACCATAATACAACATCCATAAATCTCTCAAAAAACAATCTGTTGAAACCAAAGCCATAGTTGGAACTCCAGATTACATCTCTCCTGAAATAATCAAAGGAGTGTCTTCCGATAATTATAGTACAGATTACTGGAGCCTAGGTGTCATCATGTACGAATTGTTAGTGGGAGTACCACCTTTCAATGATACTACTGTTGAGAGACTATTTGATAATATATTGAATTTGAGAATGGAGTGGCCGTAAATAGGGTAAGAGGAAGACTGCATATCTCACAATGCAGCTGATTTGATTAAATAGTTGATGGAGCCTGAATTTACAAAGAGAATTGGACACAATAACATTTAGGAAATCAAAGATCACCCTTTCTTCGATGGAATAGACTGGAATTAATTAAGAAAAATGCCAGGCTTGATTGTTCCGAGAATGGTAATAACTGGAAATGAAAAACCAAATTCAGACAAAATTGATGCATTTCTAAAGAACATGAATAAGTAGGATGACAAATACTAAAAGATTGCTTAAAACATTAAAAAAGAGCTCTAGAATTTTGAACGGATTGATTTATTGTAATAGAAGAGTGTTGAGGAAGCATAGATTAAGAAAAAAAAATAATAATTATTAATAAAGGATATAGAATAATAAATCCAAAAATTTCAAAGTTAAATCTAGATCAAATGAGTTATTGTTATTACAATGTATATATAGTTTATCCAATTTCATTATTGTTTAAGAAGTATATAATATACTTAAACAACATTAAATCAATAATTTGATGACAAATTAAAATTCTTTCTCAAATTAATTTATTTATTGTTGAATACAACATGAAGATGTCATGAAAATCAATTACAAAATACAAATACATATACATTTGCATACAATAACATAATTAAATTAAAAAAAATATTACAAATGAATCAGTATGCTAAATCAAAGGAAGAAGCTGAAATCACTCTATAAGCTATTTCAGATTACAATAAGACGTAGAAATAGAAAACTTATGGCATTGTGGCTTTTTTAAGTATTCTAACAATCGTAAGCTATGTTTTGGTATTATTGTACCATTATAAATGATTTATAAATATTTATATAACATCATTCATTTCAATTCTGGTTAAACCGATTTAAGGAAAGCTTCCAAATGTTGTCCTTAATATTTGAGGAATTCTATTTCCTGTTTTCTTTTTTATTCTTCAATTTGATTTCTCTCCTTAATCTTTTTATCCAACGAATCCTTCTTATTAAGTAAATCGATTCTCTAAATAAAATGCATTTGATACTTTCTCCTCCAATTTCTATTTCCTCTGTTCCAACTAGACAATCTTTTCTTCCAATTCACTTTTACCCATTTCAGCTTATAATTATTTTCTCATTCCGAAAGTAACCGAAGAATTGTATAAGGTTTAATATGCTGCAATAGTCATCTTGAGTTCATCCCTCACTCTCATTAATAACAAGCCTAAGATGTAATAGATGAAATTGAATACCCCTTTCAGGACAATCGATTGTAACTTATCTGATGATCTCATCAAAACATTGACTCAACAATTCTTCTCTTATTGGACAAATACCAGTTTCTCTATAATAAGGTTGTGGAATTGAAAATACCTGGCTTATCGAGCTAATAATCGCTCATCCAAGAGTTTTTGTAAATTACCAACATCTTCTCTGGTAGCTGCCACATGTGACACATACTGTATATAATGTTTTCCTTCATGATCCCATTCAATTGGTGGCAAGATAGCATTCAAAATGTCCTTGATTTTTCAAACATATGTATTACTTCTGTATTTGGCTTTGACTCTAAAGGAGATAACTATGCTTTCTTTTTTCCTTAAAGTCCTCTGGAGGCATCATTAGCATTGCTGACTTCAATGGGATTCTCATATTTGACCAAAGATTCTCTTGGAGGTTTGACTTCTTGCATGAATTGATTAATTAAAATAATATAAATTATATTCACATCTGTTATTTTTGTAACAAATTTCTTATTCTACTCAATGATTTCCCAACACTCATGAGTCTTTTGTTCCTCTTATACAATTCAAATTGCTTGAGAATTTAATCTGCAAGTATTTGAGTCTATGGAATTGTCTATCGCACACTCTTCCTCTCAGTCATAGACCCTTTTATTAGTAATTATTTAGTCTCCTTTTTCTCAGCCGACTTGGGTTGACATTGTTACTTTAATTCCACTTAGTTTGGTTCTGTATTAGTTCTTCTTCTAATCGGAAGTGTTTTCTTTACCTCGCAACGACTTTCAGATAGGTCTTCCTTGGTTCTTGGGAAAACATAATTTTTGTTTATTTGACTTCGCATGAACTTTTCTTCAATGGCTGCCTTAAAATCAGGATAACCATTCACATAAACGTTGATTTATGGTTTATATGCATAAATTTTAGTTTATTTATTCATATTAATTAATCATGAATTAGTTTCCTTTCTGCAATCTTTAATTTTGGTAGACTTATCCTCTCCTCTTCCACAGTCCTATTTAACTAATTATATGAGTTTTTCTTTGAAGGTTTTGGAAACTTTCCATTTAATGGCATGGAAGAATTCAGATTATTCTTGAATTACAACTACTCCAACAATTCTAATCTCTCAATTACTCTTTTCCTCTCACTCATCAATCTCTTTTCCCTTTGCAACATCTATTCACTAGCTTCCACATACCCCAACTTGGTTTACACTTTATTTCCTCTATCCTTATAACGAACAGTCACCTCAGTCTTCTGCATGCTTGGATTGCTCACTATCAATAGACCATTATTCGAGAGCTACGTCTACTAATAGGTATTGTATTGTTTATCAATTTCTGATCCTGAAAATCCTTCCTCAGACCCATGTTTCATCAAGTGAGAACTTTCAGAGTTTTCATGAGATTAAGATTACAACTTTTATAATTCCTCCCTCATCTTCCTATTTTCTTACATCAATTTCTCGACTTCATTCACTGATAAATTTGCTTATCTCAATCTCTCATTCTCTTCTTAGATTTTCATCAACTTGAAATGAATGTCATTGCTATTCAATCCTTTTCTCTTCATATTAAGCAACTGTTTCAAATAGTCAATCTATATTCAATTATATTATCTACCTCTTTTAATAATTTATTAACCAATTCTTGATCTGTTGCATTAATTGAATTCGCTTACACTATTTGAGTAATATTTCGAGCTCGTTAAGCAAATTTCAATGAATTAGCAGTCTCATCTATATTGTAAATATTTGGAGCAACATTCACAAATATATTAGTTAATGTATTCCCACCAAGACTATCTTACAATAATCTTGTGATCTTTGATTCTCTGTATGGGATTGGCAATTTGTTAATGTTTTTATTGTTTTGAGATAAATTTTGGATCACCTTTCCTAAAGTGGTGAGAGATTAATTGATGCTCTTTAATTCATTCAAGTGAGCACTGGTCATTGAATCTTATTTATTAATCTTCTCCGAACCAGCTAAATCACATAAATTGATTTTGGATCTCAACAACTAACCACCTGAATCAGCCTTGCTTGTTTCAATCAGTAATTGAAATATAGTGTGACTTCTACTTGACTTTAAATTCATTGTGGTTTGTCTGATCATTCTGTTCTTCTCTCCTCTCTTCATCAATGTTAAACAATCGTATAAATTATTCACTGCATATTCAGTCAATTATTCTAAAATCCTTGATTATATTTACCAACATAAATCCCTTCCGTTTTTGATTCATGAATCTATAGAGCTTGAGGTACTTTGTGATCCTGCAATAAGTCATAAATCTTCTCATTGTATATTTACAAGAATGAACAGTAAACATAATACCCTTATTGTAAATTATTAAACAGAGTATAAATAGTTCTAGGTATCATACCTGCATGATTCTAATCTGTTTATAAATCATCAATGAATGTCGATTAATGGCCCAAACTAATATTCAGTGAATATTCCCAGTCACTTCCAAACATTGTATGTGTTTTACCTGTTTAAGTACTACAGAAATACCACTGCCTGTTTGTCCATATGCCATAATTGTTGTATTGTACCCTTACAGTGCTTTATGAATGGTCGGAGATATGAATTTGAATATTTCTTCCTACGACACTTTCTCATCAAACACTTAATCATATTCCTACTTAAGTATATGTGTAGATTGCTCAATCACTACATATTTTTGCTATTTTTTAGGAACAAATTACTACTTGATCAGTTTTAATTATGCATTCCTATCCCAACTCCTTTTTCAATAAAGGCCTTACTCTTACATATACTTTTATTGATTGTTGTTACAAGGATGATTTATTTAATTTTGATTGTTACATTTATTATAAATGAAAATAATATATATAAATTATCATCTAATCCTTTATGGAGACGTAACCTGACTAATTATCTATTGTAGATTCTTTCTTTATTATGGGGATTAAACTCTTGCTAATAGATTGTCCAAGACTTCTTCATGTTAACTACTTTCACTTTTCTACGTTTTCTTAATAGATTAAATCAGATGTTAAATGCCATTTGATATTTGATTCACCTTATGTGATTATTTTTCAGAAGAATTCTATTACTTGTTTCCAATCATAACTCTAGTTTTTAAATGAATGTTTTTTATCAGAATCCTTTAATCCACAATTTAGATGTCTTCATTGGAATATGGAGGATACATATAATCTTATTTCTCAATTGATAAGATTTGATTCCTTTCGAATTGACCTTCCGTCAATTATTTTGAATTATAATTTAAATAAAACCCTTAAGTTTAATAACAATAAATACCTTAACCTTAAAAGAATCCATTTTTTAATTCTCCATCGTAGATATCTCCACTCTTAAAGATGATTTTCCCCTTCCCATTAAGTGATCCATTTTGAAACCATCCCAAATCCACTCTACCATTATTATACTAAATCACTCCCAAACCAGTTAAATCAATTTGCAAACCATAAACAACTCTATCGTTATGGATGTAAATTTATGGTAAATGATCTTTCAACATCATTTGAATATCCTCCAATTATTAAGGTTCTTCATATAAACATACTCGTAAACTGTCTTTGTATTAGACAACTTCTTTTCCTCTTCTACCAATTTTAATCCCAACTCCTTATTATTTGCCTAATTTGAAATGCCCTTAGTAGAGTTATCCATTTTAATACTAGAGTTCACATTTACCATCAGCAAGTCCTTCCTTAAACTCACCTCTAATATAACCTCCAACATTAAAGAAATACACTCCAAATCCATGAATAGTATTATTTTTCCATTCCCCATAATAGAAACCTCCATTATTAAAATGACACGAACCAATGCCATTAGGTTTATTCAATTTAAGTTATCCCCAATACTAACCATTTGATAATTTAAGATGTGAAAATGGTTAGGATTTTTCAATAACAGAGTTGATGGAACTATATACGGTAGAATTGCGATTGAATGACTAATTTTCTTTATCTCTCCACTTTTTAATGATTAGATCATGACTGATATTTTAGGATGTGCTTTCATCATTATTCATGTGTTTGTATTCGTTAAAATTAATTTAAAATAAGATCATTTAATCCATTTAACTAGTTTGCCATCCTACCATTACCCCTTCCTACTCTTTCCATCTACCGTGATATAAGTACCCTCTCCATTTTATTATCCAAATTGCCACTCCCCTCTATATTCCTTACCATCTACCCAACGATAGACTCCATAACCATGTTTTTGATCATTCAAATAATTTCCAATATATTTACGACCATCAATCCAACTATATTCTCCTTATCCATTCATCATTCCATTCTTCCATTATCCAATGTAGCCTCTTCCATCAATCCAATGATATACTCCTTATCCATGTATTTTATTATTCAACCATTCTCCTTCATAATAACTGTTATCACTCCAAACATATTTGCCCTTTCCACATTTCATACCTTTAACATATTGGCCTTCATAAAATGATCCGTCAGCCCATTTCTCTTTTCCAAATCCATGCTACAAATCATCTTCCCATTCTCCTTCATAATAGGCTCCACTAGGTGATTTTAATATTCCATATCCACATGCTTTGTTATTTCTCCAATGTCCATCATATTCTATTTTATCTGCATGACGAAATGTGCCTTTGCCATTTGCCTTGTTATGTGACCATTCCCCTTCATAAGTGGCTCCATCTGGCCACTTCTGAATTCCTTACCCATGTCTCTCATTTCCTAACCATTGTCCATTATATAATTTAAGTAATCTAAGGAATCAACCATTTAATACTTCTATGATTTTGACTCGTTTCCCAATCTGTCAAAATAACTGCCTGTTGATTTGCTAACCTGACTACTAACACTTGTTTGACTCTTTATCATTGAATAGACTTCTTTTCTCACTTTATATCCTCTCCAATGAGATTATATTTTAACTATTGCTTTTGTCTTCTTTTACTTGTCTTCAACCATATCAACCACACTCTTTGTGACAGGTTTTTACATTAAATCACTCTTGCTTCCCATCTAAACTGTATTCTGTTAAACATTATTTTTTGAACTGCGTTTACTCGAAGATTCAATTGGTTTCTCTGATAAAATTTGTTACTGCTCACTTTTCTAAAATAGACACTTATAATTACGACAATTTCTAGATCCCTTTTATAGCAGCCAGTGCATTGTCCTCCACAATTATTTCCCATTTTTATAATTATTAATAACTGTATAATTTGTATTTCACTTATTTGAGATAAAACTAAATATAACTATTATGAATAATGAGAGAACCCATAATTAAAAATATTGATTTTTTATTACCAATATACAAAAACACTTTACTCTTTTTATGATGAAAATATTCGTTATCGGCCTTAGAGCATGCTGTTGTTACTCACATACGAACCCGTGAGTAAGCCTGTGTGTTCTGTGATTACATTAACCAATCTGATATTTATATTTAATAGTCCAAAAGGATTGTTTTTATTATCTTCTTATACAACGATTAAATTCCATTATTAGATTAATAAAACCTAAAATTTAATAACATATATAAGTAACCAAACATTCATTTTTAATCAATGATTTTTTATGAGTTTTGAATAAAATAACATAAGTTAAAATTAATCAATTATACAATTTAGTGATTTACTATTTTATAAGAACTATAATTTACTATTTTATAAGATCAATAATTTTTTGATATTTTCATCATTTTCTCAATAAAATTTATTGAAAAAATGATTCAATTAGTGGTGGTGACTATGTATATGATTGTGAACATTATCTATATGATTTCCCTCATTGATCAATATTTTCCCAACTATATAATCTAGTCTATGGTCACTGATTAAATAATTCAAATAAACAATTAAATATAAATTAATAGATTTCTTAATTATATTTAGTTTTAAGCAAACTAATTTTATTTCATATAGATAAAACTAAATTTGCTATTTAATAATAAATATTTAGATCAAGAGACATCTCATTATTATTTTATTTTGCAGATTTTTAGAACTAACTCATAATCTTACAATATCATTTGATTTTTTAATTGCATTTTATTATTAAATTAAGAGCAAATCAGTTCTAAGATAAACTTAGTAGAATAATAAATTAATCTAATTTTTTTTCTAAAAATTGAGATTAAAGAAATTATCAAAATTTCTTTTTCATATAAAGTACACCCGCATTTCAACATCGCAATTTTAGCGTATGTATAAACTTATTTAATATCAAATTTAGGTTTGGATTTTTAAATTTTCATTAAGATTACTTTTTTTTCTTAAAATGGCAATATGAATCTAAACTACAGTAAATTTTGATGAATTAGCAAAGATAAATGAAATATAAATATTTATTTCAAAATTTAATAAATTCATTTTAAAATTGATGAATGACCTTAAGATAAATTTTTTTGGAATATTGTAAATTAATGGTTAAACGATAAAAATTATAAGGATAACAATTAATAAAAGGATGATTTATTTGATGTAGCTAGAATAAATAAATAATGTAATACGTTCCTTTAACAACACATCTAAATGCTTTGGCTCAATTATATTTGCAATGTGCTAGTTTATCTGAAAGATGTGATAAATTAGCAAGGGGAGAGGAAATAATGAATGAAGAAAAATAAATCCCAAATCGTAATGATCAAATAAGAATAGATATGGGTTATGATCCACTGTAAACTTTGGAAAACAATAAATAAAGACAAATAGATTCAAGATCAAACACACCTATAGAGATAAAGTATTTTGATAATGATAAGATAGCATAGTTGATGAAGAAGAGGAGAGGATTGAAAAAAAAAATGNAAAGGATTGTTTTTATTATCTTCTTATACAACGATTAAATTCCATTATTAGATTAATAAAACCTAAAATTTAATAACATATATAAGTAACCAAACATTCATTTTTAATCAATGATTTTTTATGAGTTTTGAATAAAATAACATAAGTTAAAATTAATCAATTATACAATTTAGTGATTTACTATTTTATAAGAACTATAATTTACTATTTTATAAGATCAATAATTTTTTGATATTTTCATCATTTTCTCAATAAAATTTATTGAAAAAATGATTCAATTAGTGGTGGTGACTATGTATATGATTGTGAACATTATCTATATGATTTCCCTCATTGATCAATATTTTCCCAACTATATAATCTAGTCTATGGTCACTGATTAAATAATTCAAATAAACAATTAAATATAAATTAATAGATTTCTTAATTATATTTAGTTTTAAGCAAACTAATTTTATTTCATATAGATAAAACTAAATTTGCTATTTAATAATAAATATTTAGATCAAGAGACATCTCATTATTATTTTATTTTGCAGATTTTTAGAACTAACTCATAATCTTATAGATCTGAATTAAGTTTATTGTATTTATACAATATCATTTGATTTTTTAATTGCATTTTATTATTAAATTAAGAGCAAATCAGTTCTAAGATAAACTTAGTAGAATAATAAATTAATCTAATTTTTTTTCTAAAAATTGAGATTAAAGAAATTATCAAAATTTCTTTTTCATATAAAGTACACCCGCATTTCAACATCGCAATTTTAGCGTATGTATAAACTTATTTAATATCAAATTTAGGTTTGGATTTTTAAATTTTCATTAAGATTACTTTTTTTTCTTAAAATGGCAATATGAATCTAAACTACAGTAAATTTTGATGAATTAGCAAAGATAAATGAAATATAAATATTTATTTCAAAATTTAATAAATTCATTTTAAAATTGATGAATGACCTTAAGATAAATTTTTTTGGAATATTGTAAATTAATGGTTAAACGATAAAAATTATAAGGATAACAATTAATAAAAGGATGATTTATTTGATGTAGCTAGAATAAATAAATAATGTAATACGTTCCTTTAACAACACATCTAAATGCTTTGGCTCAATTATATTTGCAATGTGCTAGTTTATCTGAAAGATGTGATAAATTAGCAAGGGGAGAGGAAATAATGAATGAAGAAAAATAAATCCCAAATCGTAATGATCAAATAAGAATAGATATGGGTTATGATCCACTGTAAACTTTGGAAAACAATAAATAAAGACAAATAGATTCAAGATCAAACACACCTATAGAGATAAAGTATTTTGATAATGATAAGATAGCATAGTTGATGAAGAAGAGGAGAGGATTGAAAAAAAAAATGATAATCCGATTTCTCATTAAACAAAAAAGATAAAAAGAGTTTAAGTTTAAGGAGAGGACAAACTATAATAAATTTAGTGCTCATAATGTAAATAAATATTTAAGAATCATAAATAAATGAAGAAGCATTTTGAAAGATCTCATAATACTAAATCTACAAAGAAAGTGAATAAGAAATTATCACAAGAATTCATGGTCTAACTTTGATATATTAATAAATAACGTTATTTATATATAAGATATGGTAAAATACTTAATATACTTGTTTCAGTTCTAACTTTATATTTTATAAATGCTCCCGTTTCGAAGAACACAATTAATAATTGGTATTCATATTAGTAGTATAAGGGATATATATATAAAAAAGGGAAAAACTAGAATTTGTGAAACAGTATATTGAATATATAACTGATAATATAATTTAAATTATTGATATGAAAAAGTATAAAAAATTAAAGAGTTATTAGGATAAACAATAGGATAAGTTCTGTATAAATGCAGCTGCACTATAGGATCATTTAAGTAGATAGCTCTTCAAATTGCCTAAAATAAATTCAAAGTAATTATCATTAGCCTAAAAATTGGGATTAGTACCATCACCTCCAAAACCTCTAAACTAAGAGGAATGGGCTTAGATTGAGGAACAGTCTCTTAAAAGGGAAGATATTTAAAATTGTGTATGTCCTATTTGCTTGGAGAAATTCAGAATGCAATAACATGTAATTTTGAGTTGTAGTCACATCTATCATAAAACATGTTTAGAAAGTTTTGAGAGAGTCTCATAAACAAAACAATGTCCTATTTGTAGAAGATAGGATTATGAGAAGAAGCAATTTATGGTGGCTAACAAATAATATAAGATCTAATCAATAATAAAAATATAAGCATTATTCCGGTAGTTTAGATGCAGAAAATAGTTTTATGAGAGGATGATAAAAATGTAATACAAACCAGAAAACAGTTTATTGAAGAGGAAATTGCTATTTTATAAATTATCTAGGATATCATCAAGAATGTCAAAGACTATTTAATAATAAGGTAATTAAGCTCAATAAGCAATAAATCAGTTGGGTGAAAATATTCAAATAAAGTAAGAGCAGATGGAAAATAATTTAAACAAGATCTATCAAATGAAACACAATAATGAGTAGATGGCTAAATTGTAACCAATAATAAAAGTGGATTGGATTAGCATAAAGAAAGTGGCTCTAGAAAGGAGAGAAGTTGATTGCACAATATGTTTACAGAGTATGGTTAATGCCAAAGTGTTTCTACTGAGTTGTTCACACATGTTTCATGCTAATTGTTTGAATTCTTTCGAAAGATATTCCATGGCATAAATTAACAATTGTCCAATCTGCAGATAGAGTTATCAAAAATCTCACTTTTAGTTATAATAATGATACAATATAAAATAAAAATGATAGTTCTCATCATTTATTCATATAGGATTGTAAGCAATTAAACGAATTATTAATTAATATAATTTTAATATAAGTAATAATTATATGGACATAAAGGAATAATATGCCTAATATACGCAAAAAAATTACACAGCCAACGTATTTAAAGTAGGGGATCACAATTTCATATTGGACAAAAGGTACAATCCGACAAATCAACTGGGGAGTGGAGCCTATGGAGTGGTGTTGTAGGCAGATGATTTGAAGGCACCTCCTGAAGGGCCTAAGAAAGTGGCAATAAAGAAAATTGAGAAGACGTTCCAGCATCGCTTTTATGCCAAACGTACATTGAGAGAATTGAAAATATTAAGGAATCTTAAACATGAAAATGTAATCTTAAATATATCTCCTAGATTGTTAATTTAATTACGATAGCACTGCCAAAATCCAGAGTATCAATGAATGACATGTAATGTTGATTAAATATTGTTAGCTATTTGGTTACAGAGTTGTTGGATACGGATTTACGTAAAGTTTTGGAAAGGGAACATGCTAAATTAACTGAAGATCATTATAAGTTGTTTCTATATCAAATCTTGAGAGGAATTAAATACATGCATTCTGCCAACATTTTACATAGAGACTTAAAGCCTAGGAATATTCTCTTAAATAAGGAAGATTGCATGTTAAAAGTCTGCGATTTTGGTTTGAGTAGAGCATTACTTAGTCAAGGACTCAATGGTTAGAATCCAAATGTGATGACTGATTATGTTGAAACTAGATATTACAGAGCACCTGAATTGCTTTTGGGATTGAAACAATATACAAAGGCTGTAGATATGTGGTCAGTTGGTTGTATTTTTGCTGAAATTGTACGTGGTAAAGCTTTGTGGAGAGGAGCATCTGCAGAATCTTAATTAAAATTAATATTTGAAACTATGGGTACTCCCAATAAACAAGAAATCAAGAATTATAAAGATCCCTTCTTTCAACAAAAGATGTTGGAGGCTGTTGTTCATTTAGGATAATTTTAAAAAGTTCCACTGGATAAAATCATCAAAGGGATTTCTCCTTAAGGATACGATTTATTAGAAAGACTCTTGGAAATTGATTTTACTAAAAGAATTACAGCTGATGAAGCCTTGGCACATCCATATTTCGAAGATCTTCATTCTCCTGAAGATGAACCTTTTCGTCAACCAGTAAGTGACAAAGAATTTGAATTTGAATTGTATGAATTAACAACAGAACAACTAAAAGGTATTTAATCTGACTATCAGAAGATATGGTTTATGAAGAAATCCTCTTATATCATTTCCAAGATTTCAGAAAAGAATACGAACGAAAAATAGCTGAAAATGAAAGTGTTATTAAACATATCTTAACTGGATAAAGTGCAAGATTAATAGATCCATTAGCGGATGATGATTTTCCTGATTTTTAATGATAAATCATATTTATCCTCTAAAATATTCCTTAAGGATGGATTCAAACTGACTGTTGTCATGATTTTGGATTTAATTTCTGAAATCATAACTAGGTCTCATTTAAGGATCAACATTATGCATTTCATCGTGTATTTTTCTATTTCTTTATTCTATGGAAATATGAGATATAAATTTTTAGACTTCCAAATATTTAGTTCTCTTTTTTAACAATTCCATTAACTCTTAATTTTCTCTATCAATCTACTAGACTTGAGCATTGGTATTATTTGGTCGATTATTTTATTGTGACATCATCCTATTCTATCTCTCTTCAAAATTAATATCAGGTATCTCACAAATAAATATAATTCCTTACATTTTATTACTAGTATTTGGACAATTCATTTTCCAAACTTTTAATCGATTCTTTCTCGCTTTCTTCAATAGGGTCAAAGTTAAGGCTTCTAATATAATGATATATGGTCGGCTTTTTCTAAGTCAAGCATTCTGGACAATAGAATTTTTAATTGTCGTAAAATTGATAAGGAAGCTGATGTATTTCACACATTCTCCATATATCTATCAGAGCATCTACTTCATTTTCTAAATATCTATATTATTTGATTGGAAGTTAAAGAATTTTTCGTATGATGCCCTTTTCCGACTCTGTGAAACTAATACTAAAATAACTTGTTGTTGCCATTTAATTATTTATATAATGAATTTATTCACTCAGAAAGATATCAATTTTATTCATTGCCATTATTAAACAATCCTGATGACACCTCCTCAACACTTATAATTGTTTCTTCCTTCTTCAACTAACATGAATTATAATGTTACATTTAAATCCTAAGAAAACTCACATTATTAATCTTTATTGAGCGTTAAATTCAAAACTACATTAGCACAAACAATGAATATCAAATCCTTAAAACATCTATATGATTTTATTTGACCAAATACACTTATCGTGTAATTAAATATTTATTCAGTTAATGTATTACACAAAATAAGACAAATCATAAGAGAAGGTTTAATCATTCTAGTTGATCAAAGAAGCTGTCAAGATCATCTTCTTGATTGTCCACGAAATTCTTTATCATAGGATTTTCAGGTCTTTCGATATCTGTAAAATGAGATTCGTAAGATTGGGTTGACGAAACACTCGAGGAATCTGCTCTAGAATGTTGCAATATGCGAACTAGAGGTTTAGGGTATGTGATTGTGTGTGTGTTCATTTCTATACTAATATCTTAAAAAAATATTAAAAATACATTTTTCCAACACCAGGTATTTATAATCAATTTTAATAAATAAAAAAACTTACAATCAGGAAATCTCAGCATTTCATAAGAATGAAACTTCAAAAATCCTGAAATATTTCTAATCCTATAGCCAAAAGGACATATCTACTAATATTAATTCATTCATTTAAAATATGAATTTAAATTTGAGTTTAATTTCAGTTAATCATTTATTTCTTTTTTGAGATCTAAACTAAATTCAAATATAAACTAATCTTTTTAATTCATTATTTACATCCTACTAGCCATATATATACATAAATTTGAAATGAGAGTCTTCAATAATCCTTTTATACTAATAACTAATCAATATTATTAAATATATAAATTATGAATATATCTTAATAGTTTGTATTTTTTCTATTCCCCAAAAATATGTGTAGAGTGCGAAAAAATTTATGTCAAAATGAAATTTGCAATGACAGTTTATTGCTTTGATCGTGAAGTATTGGAATTAACATGAATAATGTTATATTAAATTAGAAAAACGTAATTAATTAATACTAATGAGTTCTAAAATCAAGAATGTCTATTTAACATTGCGTCTGCGCTTGGAAGAACTCAGAGTTGTTACAATAAAGACTTTTTAGATTGGAATTAACATTTTACTTTTTGCATCTCTTCGAGGGGATCAAAAAGCAAAAAATCAAAATTCACTTTAACAATATGGTCTTACTTCTCAAAAATAATTACAATAAGCATAATAAATTTCATCTTCGCTTTATAATCACAACTTTGGCAGTTTCTATCCTGAAGTAAGTAAGTTTGAACTAATTTATAGTTTATCAGGGCATCTATTACTTTATATTTAGTAGGATTGGTGATTAATTTACTTCATACTGAAATATTGAATGTAATTAACAGGAAATTCGTGTTGTAAAAATGTGTTGGAACTATAGTTATAGTCTTCCTCCATATCTTAGATTTAATGATCATTAATGATTTTCTAATATTGAACTCAGAATACAGTAATCTAACTTAGGCAGTATCAGATATATATGTGGATTCTGTAAGAAAACAGAAGGATATGATATAATTGTTTGAAGCAGTCATCAGATAACTGGTTAACATAAATAGGTAAAGCAATTTTATCAATTTTCCAGATTTCTTTCAGTGTTTTTTTAGGCTTCTGCTCTATGGGGAGATGGAATCAGAAAATTAATTAAAAACAAAAGGAAGACTTGGGGAACACCTGATTCATAATTATCATCACCTTAACCTTAAGATAAACCTTAATTAAATCATGTACCCCCAGTAAGTACTTTGAACAATAAAATGAAGGGTCAAAAGAAGGATGTTGTTCAGCATTCCGGAAAAAAGAAGAAAACACAGCAACAATAATAAATTGAAAAATCAACTGAAGAAAGAGGTCAATCTATAGAAAAGAAGAAAAAAAAGATTTTGGATAAAAAGCCATCAAAATTGTCACCAAAACAATATGAATAACAAGTAGAAGCCAAAATTGATGAATCATAATAATTAGCACTTTCTAAATAGGTTTCATAACTACAAAAAGATGAATAAAATAATTCAACTTAGGCAGGTTCTAATGGGAATAAATCCTTGTTTGATCATAAGATTAAATCAAACAGAAGTGAATCACTCCCAACTAAACTCTGCTCTTAGATTGAAATACCTTAAAAGTATTTGAGGTATTCTTCCTAGAACTAAAAGAAACCTGTAGAATAAAAGAAATAGATGAGGCCCATTTATGATAAACTGTATAAATTCAATTTATAAACTAATGTTGACAAATATGAAATTAAAGTACATAGTATAACTGAAATGAATAATTCAATTAATAAAATTGCATAAGAGAATTCATGGAATTCATTCTTAACAATTAATGTAAAATTAAATTATTGGAAAGAAGCTTATCAACAAATGTAAACTTAAGAAATTAAAGAAGAATTATAAAAAGTAATAGCATAATATGCATTATATTTAATGAATTAACATGCTTAAAATTAAGAAATCGTTGAATGAAAATAATATTTATATTGGATGCTTATTTCAATTTATTCAAAATTTTATTATTCTTCTATTTGCAGTTCGATTTTATTGATTGTTTATTTATCAAAAATTTAATTATTAATAAATTTAATATATATTATATTAAAGAAATAGGAATAATTAGAAAGTGAAAACATGTTAACTTAATTATTTATTTTGAATTCCTTATTTTTCTATAAAGTCTTTAAATCTAAAGAATTAATATTTATATACAAATGATCAGTTATCAATTTTAATATATTCTTTACTTCATCTTGTTTAAATATATTAAATTTCAATTGGAGATTTCAATAAGATAAATCCTATATCCTATTTTGTGTTTTAGATCAGTTAAACCAATTCATGATAATATAATTATCTTTAGCTGCTCTTTTCCTCACATTAGCCTAAATGTTATAGATATGCAATTTGTCACGTAATTTAGTTCATTAAAATCTAGACTATAATGGAGAAAACAACTAAGAGGTATTTCATATTTGGAAAATTATAATGATTTTTAAATACTAGATACTTTGAATAGCTTTTCTAAAATTTAATAAATATATTAATATACGTATAAATGGGTGATTTAACTATTTTAAAAAGAAAATTTGAAAGTTTGAGTATTGTTGATGAAGAGGCACCATCAATTTAAAAAAAGAATTTCATTCAAGATGGAGACTTATACATTTTGGGCAAAAAAATCTCATCAATTAATTTGGTTACACCTCTATAGCACATCATAAATAAGCCCGACATAGTTTCAACTTGTTTGGCATTGATGACAAAAGATAAATACAATCCTTTCCTTTATATTGATAGACCAATTAAAAAAGCTAATGATGAGTAATAATGACATATATAAAATAATTATAAACTTAATAAATAACTACTCATGATAAAGGAAGGCTAAATTTAATAGTTTATTTTAGGATCAGGAATGCCAAAAAGTTAAATGAATATGATTTATTTTAAACTAAGTTCGATTATTTAATAAGGAGTCTTAAGAAACAGCATTTAGGATTTATAAATAATATGAAATCTGTCGGAAAAATTAGCAAGCTTTTACATCAGTTATTAATGTGTGAAAACTATAGTAAGGAAAAAGGGATTTATGATTTTTAAAACAAACACACAATTTTGAGCCAAAATACATCCTTTACAAATATATTGATTAATATTTATTAAGTTGATTTATTGGAAGGACGAACTCTTATAAAAATTAATGAGGACTTAAAGAAATAATAATAAATTTTCAAAAGAATCAAGAATAAATTAAGAATATCAAACAATTCATTAGCTATAATTAAGACTTTAAAACAGAATTTAAATTCTATAATAACATCTAATTAAGATGATATTAATAAATTAGAATTGAAAAATTATCTTTAGGTTAATATAGCTATTCAAATAATCTATTATTTAAGCTTTATAGATATAAGAATTTAAGTATGTATTGATAGAATATTTAGGAGATAAATGGGAGAAAGAAGTGTATCAGAGCTGATTTTTTTGGTTGATAAGGTTTGTTTATTATATTCTAAACATTAAAGTAATATCAATATTATTTCACCAATTCTATCCATATCAGATTTGCCTCTATTTGATAATAATCATTAATTTTTTAATTAATTATATTAAGGACATATAATTGTGTATGCTATTATTGAATAATTTAATAATAATAACAGATCAATCTTATTGTTGTTAAGGGACTTCAACATGGAATTTGGGTTCTGGTTATTAAGGAAGATCTGATTATTCTGTTGAAACTTATTATGGTTATTCAGAATAAAAATGATTGATGGTTGCTTTGAATCCACAACCATAATAAAATTATGATAGTACTTTATTTTATAATATAGATTAATATAATGATTTACAGAATAGACATTTACTAATCCTGGCAAACTACAGATTTAATAATTATAACACCATTTTAAACTTTATTATTAAATCATTAGCTAAAGGGTTATAATCATTTGTATCGCCTAGAATTCTTACTTTCTAAGCAGGTTTATTTTTTGATGATATATCATTTAATATTGGTTTTAATCTATTTTCAAATGGACCAGCTGCTTCTATTTTATTTTACTATGATTTTGGTTCGACACCTGCTGGTAATTCAGATATATTTTTCAAATTTATATCCTTTAAATTTAACTTAAAATGAATAATCTTCAAATAATTCAAAAGCATTCTATTATTCACAATTTATTCATACCATTGGATTATCCAATAAAATCTTACTTAAAACATCCTTTATTTCTTACAGTTTCTCTTTTACCATTTACACAAAAATTAAATATATTTAATATGTTTATATATTAAAAGTAAACTATCGAAATTGTAACACTTAAGTAATTGTCAAACCGAATATTAAAAAAATATATATTTTAATACAAAGCTTATCTATCAAATTCTTCTACAGCAAGAGATAATTTTTGAATATATTTTTTGTAATAGTCTTTTTAAATATCTAAAGAATCCGATAAAAGATAATGTTAACACTATGTCTAGCAATTCGATAATGAAAGTCTTCTTAAGAACTCCTTCTCCATACTACAATGGCTAAATGCATGCTACATCTCCGTTTTTCAGCAAGAATAGGATTACATTAGTATTGATTTAATTTTTTTAGATATGAAAATCTATAGCTTAGACTCCATATTTGAAGTAAGGCATTCTTAATTTCATAGTATCAGTTTTGTTTGATTTATATTCTAGACTTTACATATCCACTAGATGCATTTTGAACTTGGATTAGGAACTTTCTGATAACTAAATGAATTAATATGAGTAATAGTACTATATAAATGAGTTGATCTTGATGGTCAAAAATGATTTTCTTAAATATTTCCCTTTCTTGTTCAAAAATGTTTAACTTAATTTTTTTTGGATTCCATTAATCAAATTACTTGGCAAACATGAAAGGTTTTATTTTTAAATAGTATAGGTATTTTTTACCAAAGGATACTAACAATACATTGTGTTCTGGATTGTAATCATAAAGTAATTCAATTTACTATATTTATTCAAGACTAATCATCTCATCAGTAATGTCTATGTTTAAGAAAACATTTTTATATTCATTTAATGCCATTCCAATGATCTTATATTTATCATTAGTAACTCTAAGGGTAATTAGATAATATACTCTAAATAAAATACACCGATTGTGCTGTCATTAAGAAAAAACAATTTCATCACTTGAAAGTAGAGTACGTGGGTTATTTGGAATGATTGAATTTTGCTTATCTTCTATTAATTGGCTACACTTAAATAAGGGTAAATTAATTACAATCATAGAAATGAATTTCCCTATCATTTTAATAATTAAAGATAATATTTTGATTTTTGGTTGCAATATTCTTGATTAAATGCTTAGTTGTATGTATGATTTCTAATTCATAATCTCTTAATAGAGCAATTTATTATTCACTATTTTGATAGTCATAGAGAACAAAGAGTATATAATTTGATTCTTCAATGAAGGTTGTTACGATTTTGTTTTTCAAACTTATTTATAATTCTTCGTTCCAAAAATTATTTAATGTTATTGCTTGCGATAAATCAAAAAAGTTGGTCCCATAATCAGAGTAGATGGAAATATCTAACAAATTTAAAAATAAGATTGATACCAACTTGTGCCATCTCAGTATTAATAGTATTCTTAATATTTAATAGATAAATGGAATCAATAGAATTGTTCATTTTATTCCTTAAAAATATTGACTCAGATATGAGATTGAATGATTATCGATATTGATTATTAATTTATTGCAAAGTATAATCCTCTTCTTCATTTATTTGATAATTGATTTTTTTATAAATCTGCTCAATAGTACTTTACATATTGTTTTGTAGGGTGAGAACTAATGAGTTGCTCTATTCAGTAACTTCATTTAATTCTAGAATCATTTTATTATTTGTTTGGTCTTGCATTAATTATAACATATACCGACTCTTTTGATGAAGACTATTTCAGTTTCTATAACAGTATAATCATAGAATAAGTTGTCTAGTATTTGGGAAAACAAAAACAAGAAACCAATGATGACACAAAACACCACTGTATATTTAACACTTATGGTCCTTATTGATGGTTCTGAATTCATAATATTTTTAATTTTTATTAATATACTTTGATAATCATTAATCATTTAGATGAGTCTTAATTCTTCTGGTTGATTTAAGTTCCTTGTCAATGAAGTCATAATACAAACCAAAGGGTTTCTATAGACTTTTCCCAAAAATAATCAAACTTTGCATTGCTTCATCAAAGCTTTCAGTGTACATGTAAGTGGGTTACACAGTTTGAATAGGATAGCTGCGATCAGCATGAATAAAAGGATCGAATTTTTCATATTTTGCCTTAGGGAAATGCTAGTTACTCATATGAATTAAGAATTACATCACATTCTCCAATTGAACTTGCAATTCCTGCTCCATATCCTTTGATCAATCCATTCTCCTTATAAGCACCAAATTCAAGAGTAAACCAATATAGAGTGCCCAGTCTACTGAGATCTTATTTCTTTGCACCACAAGATAAGATTCCGATTTCTTATGAAAGATCTGCCACTTCTTTATCAGCAAACAGTGGTACGTGACCAACAAGTTCATGGACAATGTCAGGTTCAGGTGTATACTCTGGAGTTGAATGATGTCTTATATATTATGTGCAACAAAACACTCGATGTCCAAGAGCATTTAAGAATTCTCTTTAGCTAAGTATTCCATGAGTTGCTTTGATTCTAAATCCAGTTTCTGCTCTCAAATATGCATCAATGTCTCTTAATTAAGGAATTTTGTATTTGAATCCAAGAGCATTTTCAATTTTCACTAAATTATTCAAATATCTTTAAGACATCACATGATTAACCTTTTCTCTCAATATAGTATAGATTTTCTTCCATGTTTATTCCTCTTGCTCTGTGTAATTGATATAAGGGACTGGTTCTCCAACCAGATGAGCTTAGGAGAGTTTTGCAATTTCTTCTCTTCTCTTTCTGTATTCAGTATCTTTGAACTATGGATGATCTGAATTATTTTCTTCATTGACTTCCATTATTGTACCAACTAAAAGTCTTAAACTGTAAATTACTTGTTTTTAGATCTTCATCCGTTCTTGGATACCATGGGACTGAAGGTACAGACATATCATTATTTATCAGAACTTAATCATATCTCTATTGCAAATCGTATATCAATTCATTATACTTTTTATCTTCAACCTTTTCGAATGTCAATTTTACTACAATATTCTACCCCCTAGTATATATATATGTAGTTATTACTTGTGTGTTCTGCTTAATTTAAGAGGTTCGATGTCTGTTAGATTAATTTTGTGATTTGAAAAGGATTTCAGAATGTTTCTCAAACTACCCCAATAATCTCTTGTGATTATTTCCACATCCTATAGGTTTTCATAACTAAAGTTTTTTTTGACGTATGAGAAACGAGATAGAGATTTGAAAATTGAATTCAAATACATTTTAACTATTTATTTTAATTAACTTTAAATTATTTTAGTCACTAATTCAAATTTACTCAAGATTTTTCAAATTATTCTTTATAATGTCTGCAATTTTAGGTTATGTCTACTAATCACATATTTTCTCTTTGATACTCATATCTTTAGGATTTATATCCTTTTTAATAATCTCTGGAGTTCTCTAAAATTAATTATTATATAGTTGTTACTTTAATTATAGGAGATGCAAAATAAGAAAAATTATTTGAATCAACAGCCTACTTCAGTTTACTAACTAAGAGATATTAAGGTAATCTGTGAGATTCTGGTGATTCATCATCGAAATTCACATCTGTAATATCATCATCTAAATTCTGGATAGAAATATTGTCTTCACTATCATTAAATTATTCTTAAATTTATTGCATCATTGTAATTTGGGGAGTCAATAACACACTTACCACTTACCATAAACTCTGGCTTATTTTATGTTGAAGGACCAATAAAATTCTTCATAAATCCACAACTACCTGCATCTGTATTACTTGATTTAATAGTATCTTTAGTATCTAAACATTATTCTTCTGATTTGTTTAATTCTGAATATCTCATTCTATTCAAATTGATCATAAACCATTCATGTCTCAAGGCATCCCTTGGCAAAGGTCTCTGAGATGGTCGAGAATGCAATAACAGTTTCAATAATGATAATCCTGACAATATTTTAACTATTTACCTTCACTGCTTATGATATTTTCAATAGAACAATAATCAACCTTGCAATGAAAATTTCTCATTACAACTTCATTGTAAGTAGTACCCTTAAAAGGAGATTTGCCAGAAATCAAAAGGAACATCAAACAACCAACACTAAAAATATCTACCTTTGTATCATAAAGTTTATCTTGCAAAATCTCTGGAGCTACGAATCCAGGAGTTCCGCATCTTTGAAACATATAATTACCCAAAGGATTATAAAAATCGGCCAATCCGAAATCAGCTATAACTACATCTTCCAACACTCCACTTTTCCTCAATATCATATTTTCAGGTTTGAGATCTCTATGTAGAATGTTCTATTTGTGTAAATAATCTAAAGAATCCAATAAAGTGGCCAGAATGCTCGCAACTATTTGCTCTGAGCATTTTTGATTCCGCTTTATATATTATTACAATTCCCCTCCTTATAGATAATCTTAAACTAGTAAGACATGAGAGTCATCTTCAAAGACTTCATGCATTTTTATCAATCCCTTGTAATTCAACTTCCTCATAATCTAAATTTCTTTAATTAAGGCCTGCTTATCAGTATCTTTATTCATCTTATATTTTTCAAAAGCCTTAACTGCAAATTACTATTTATCCTACTTTTTGGTACAAAGATACACCTGATGTATTCAAATTTCATTACATTTGCGAAATTCCCTTTTCCTATAAGCTTCTCTATCACATACTTTTCTTTAAAGGAACGTTGAATACATTACTGTTTGAGAAATTCCCAAATCTATTAGTTTAGTTCTTTTGATCTAGAATAGAGTTCTTTGAATTTTTGATTACGAATAATGCGAATACCATATTTTTTCTAAAATTGGATATTCAATTTACTTTATGGCAAGCATCGCCTTCCTAATCATTTTTATATTTAATTCTCTCTATTCTTGATAAACTTAAATCAACATGATGAATATTTGCCTTATTTGGCTACCTGTTAATAAATTGAATACCCTCAACTTCACTAATTTGCAATTATAAATGATATAATTTTTGCTAATCCAAAAACCAGTTGTTTTGGTTTTTTCAAAAAGGACAGATTGAAAATCAACCAATTCTTCCTCGACTTAAAAATTCGTTTTCTCCCAAAATGACATTGAGATTTTGGTATCGTCAAAAAATGATAACTTTATTTGCATCAATAATATTAATTAATTAATGATTAATCAAGTTATAATTCTTCCTATTAATCTCTTATTCGATAAGATTTTATAATTTTTTAATATATTTTGATTACTCTCATTTTGACACTTACTATATCCTACTTTACTTAATTTCAAAATGGCATCTGTTCTTTGTTTACTTTAAAGTTATATTGAATTTAACACCATTAATATTCATTTTATAAACTGAATTCAATTAATTTTATAATTAAAAAACAATAAATTACTGAATTTAATTAAGTTGAATTAAATTATTAAAATTATAGGTGTTTGATTTCAATTTTGATATTACAAGAACACCTACATATAATGATGCTATTCAATAATAAACTAATTCTATAACACGATACTTAAGATACTTAATGGTGGCATTATTTTCAATAACAAAAATTTAATATATTTTACATTTCATAACAACTATTATAGAATTGAACGAACGATTTTATTCAATACATAGTTCTATATATACAGTTATTAGCAAATACCATTGAAATCTTAGTATTTTTTCATAAATTATATTCGATCTACCTTATTTCAAAAACTTTATATCCTTATGTAATTATAATTGTTTACAACAAATTTTGATAAAATTGGTCTCTAAATTTATATGCTAATCATTTGAATCATTGAATTATAATGTTTTTCATTTTTGGGATGATATAAATTTTATAACAATTCACAATCTTTATAATTTAAAATTCAGGGGCTTATAATAATACTCGTAACTCTGAATCACTTTATTAATCGCATTGAAGTAAATTTAATTTTATTGTTTGTCATTGTGTTATCAAAATATATCTCTATTCTGAAATAAATGAAAAAAATCCAATACTATTTTTAAATTACATTTTAATTGTTAGTCAGGGAAATTATTAATTTATGAATTAAACATAGATGGTAATTATGTATTATTTACAGATAAGATATTTTGTTTAAGGTATTATTCCTAGCAGAATTATGGCAGTAGATTAATCACTCTAAAATCACCAATTTAATTGATATTACTAATATGCAAGGTCAGAGATGTATAATTATTTTGAAAAGAAGTAGATAATCAGCAAACAATAAGTAAGTAGAATAGCCATGAAAAAATACTCGAATTATATTGATATATTAAATAAAAATAAATGTAATTGAATTAAATTAAATCAAAGAAAAGAAGGATAACTCCAAGTGAGATATATTAATTATCTCTATCCCAAGAGAGATATCAGATTCCTAAATTCTTGTCTCTGAATCAATAGAACATTAATAAATCGTAAATATATTAAATTTTGGACCAAATTGGATCAGGTAGTTATAACACTATTTTTATTGCGGAAAATAAGCTACATGGTGGTTACTATGCAAATGAAGAAAGTACTCCAAGATGCAAAATAAATCAATAGGGAATTGGAAATGCATATGAATATGAATCACCCTCATATAGCACCTCTAAGAGATTATTATTATACTGTTGAAAATAAGGTCAAATAATTGCATTTAGTTATGGATTTATATCAAGGAAATCTATAAAATGCAATAAAAGTCCCATTAAAAAGAGTTGCCAAATAAATATTTTAAGCATTGGAATATTTGGAGGAATAAGAGGTAATGCATAGAGATCTTAAGCCAGCTAACATTTTGTATTAGAGTGGTAACATATATCTAGCTGATTTCGGAAGTTCAAAAAAAATGGATGGATCTAAGAGTTTGACTTATGTATGTTCTAGAGCTTATAGGGCACCAAAATTATTATTTGGTTAGATATTTTATAATACGAAAATCGATATATGGGCAGCTGGTTGTATTTTGGCTGAATTAGAATTGGGTAAAAAATTATTGTTTTGACAGAATACTGTTGATTAGATAGTAGAAATATGTAAATTTATGGGTATTCCTAATGAATTAGAGAAGGCAGAATTGGGATGCTAATTTTACATACCAAATTTATAAGCAAAAAAACTAAGTATGATATTTATTAATTTTGTTTTGAATTAGAAAACTGATCCCTTATTAATTGATTTATTGTCTAAGATATTTATATTTAGTCCATCGAAATGATTGCAGTGATGCGTTGAAACATTCTTATTTTTTATCATGATTGTACTTAACAAGCATTCAAATTATTATAATTTATTTTATATTTATTTAAGGTTATTTCATAAATAAAATTACAATATGAAACATTATAAAAGTCTTTTACATTTCTCAAAATAAAAATAAAATAATTCTCCAAAATAGTTGGCATTCATTATAATAGGAACTTTATTTGCATTCAGTGGATATTATGTGTATTATAATGTTAGATATATGGATCAGATTGCTGCTGGACGAATTCAAGAATTTGAAGAGAAATCAGGCATGAAGATATCAGAATTTAAAACTGAGAATCCCATTAAAGAAGAAATCAGACCTGAATACGTATGTGATTTAGTCTATTAATTTAGATTGAGAGATAAAAGAGAATTTATAGATAAAAAATGGAAGAAACTAGAAAATAACTACAATAATAATAGAAATGAATTTTACAAATAAAACATTTTTATCATTCAGTAATTGAAATCATTTAGGATATCTCCACTTTTATTTTCTTTCTATTACCTTACTCTAATAATGAAGCATCCTCTGTATCCGTTGATTAAGAATTATAATTTGATAGTTGCTAACTCAAATCACTCTAGATCTTCTCGATCTTCTTCATATATGGTGATGCTAAGAACAACTTTTAATGAGAATTTGATTAAGTATGCTAATTAATTTAATTTCTTTATTAATACAGTTAAGTAATCTGTATACTTAGTCTTACAAACAGAGCAAATCTGAACTCGATGTTTTGGCTTTGGAATCAGCTAGGATATTCATGATAAATGGTACCAATTATTTATTTTTTATTTTTATTTATTCAATTTTTTGATTAAATAATTGTTAATGATAGTTTAAATTGCTTTCATATGCAGGCTAAAATTTATAAATGAAGCATCCATACTTTTTCATATTCGATGATAAATCCAGGAGTTGTAACTTAATGATCATCATTAAAAATTGGAAAAATATTCAATTTTTATTACAACTAACTAAATCTATATTCATTCCTTATACATATTAAAAACAGGACTATAATCTATATTGACGTTGTGGTCCTTTGAATACTGATTCTTATTGCTCAAGATGAATTTGTAAAACATTATATATATTATATATAATTTATTATTTTATTTCAAACTCATACATAATAAACTTTTTGAATATTCATTACAGATTTCATTAGTCAATGTGATTTGCACAATAACTAATTTATACATTGTTTTTCTATATTTATTTTTTTTTTCAACTAAATTTTACCTTGAGTAAAATTTTATATGTATTCATTTCCAATAAAAATACTCCTTTTAAGAAGAAAGGTTTCATATTAGATTAAATAAATCGAAAATTTGTTATTTAGAATGAGAATATAAATTTAGGATAAAAATTTGAAAAATTTAGTGGTTAAAGATTGAATTTATCACGCCTATAAATTTTCTAATTTTCTTTTAATTTGTTAGTTATTAAGAAATATCTTTACGGCTTGAACTTCTTAATGGTTTGAATTACAAGGGGAGAGACTTATTTTTGATTCAGAATCTAAATAGTTTCTATCTAAAATTTTAGATTTCCTCTCTTCTGATAATAATTAAAGAACCTGTTTCTATTCAGAATCCAAATGATATTCATAAAAGAGTTTAATCATATCCTAATCTAAATATGTAATTATTTTTTGTCCAACATTTTCAATGGTGTCAGACATATCACGAATTTAATAAAATGACTTATAGGCCTCAATAAATCTTTCAAAATTATCTTTGGATTGATGCTAGTCTATACTACGATAATCTAATTACTTGAGTATGAATCTGTATCAATTTTATTAGATGAAACATTCGTTATTAATGGAATCGGAATAATATCAAATAAGACTCTCTAATTAGTTGTCAAAATTATTGATTTCAGATTGTCAAACTCCTAAAATTTTCTCATTATTTCAACTACGTCTAAATTTTCTTGAATTTTCTCATTTGCTTAATTCAATTATTTTATTCTTGCCTTATTGCACCCAAATAAGAATTGTAGAATGCTTGATATTGAAGTTGACAATTTATGTTACGGTTATCTCACATATTTTTCGACATTCGATTTCATACTCACATCTCTTTTTATGCTTTGAGTGAGATCATTTTCCTCCTACTGAAATCTAAATAATTTATTAGCTAAATTAATTTTCATTTCTGTTAAAATAAATGGTTTAGAAATAATTCCAAAGAACATAAATATTAATTACCACAATCCTCCAATCTTACTTAAGATAGTCAGTAACTTAATGTAGGATCTTTAATAATTTGTGTATTTATTATCAAGTATTAGACTATGTAAGATTAAATAATCTTCATTATAATCTGCAGTTGATTCTTAATAGTACTATTAAACCAAAAATGAATCCTCTACAACATTATTAACCAAAACTCCTTCATCAGTAAATGATTGAATAATTCTGAATCCTTGATATATAGTTTTGGAAGTTGATATTGAAAATTATGTATATTGCATTTTTATGAAATTTTTTTAGATGCTCTCGGGATTACTCATTTAAATTAGAGAATCACTCATATGAACCACATAATAACCGTTAATTAATTCTTTATTAATATCATCCCTTGAAGCACAATCTTGTTTCTCTGTACTATTCTTACAAGCTGCAAATTTAATAGTGATGTAGGAGTATAAATTTCCTGAAACAATCCCTTATAGTACCTACTATGATGATATATCATTACAGGTGGTTTACTTTGCAAAATATTTTTCTTGATGCACTAAGCAGTTCCTAATCGAATTTTACTGAAATATTCTTTTTAGATATCTGTTACAAAATTATCTGATGTGCATGCTTCTGTTGGATAATTTATACATCTAATTTATAACTTTACGCATACGTATTAACAACATCAATTTTATTAGTTGTTGTATTAAGCTATCTTGATCTTAAACAATTTTCAACTTTAATAGTAAAGTACTTATCAATCGTCTTCAAAGGATTTTGTTCCATATTAGCAACAGATATTGATAATGTAAAATTATGATTTTCCAATGGAAATGGCTATATATTATATATGTATACAGAAGTTTCAGTAACTAGGTGTTCGGATAAAATTGTTTGAGGAAGTTACTTGTATACCAATTCTTAGACTTATTACACTAAATATCCGAATGTCAATGCTGAAGCTATTATTGTCAAGAGACTTCCAAGTATACTTGAATATTTTTGATTACCAAAAATCAATAAATTTGGATTTATCCCATATAAATCAATAGCGTGACATATTTTTCTACATTTTAAACCCTAAGTTTACAATAAATTTACTAATGGATGATTCATCAATAAATTCAATATATTAAATAACTATAAAAGGAAAATCCAGGTTGTTTAACATATTGATATAACCTATAAATTAGCAAAAGGCATAAATCAAAGAATATTTAAGAATAAAAGGTTACATTAGATATATGGCCTAACATAAACTTTTTTTGACTACTTCAATTCTTTAAGTTTTGAAAAATAAATGGAAAATGAATTTACAATTATATTCTAATCAATCCAATAAATGTATGAATATCAAGGTTTCCTTAAAATTACAATTTTTGGAGGTTTATAATAAAGTTTATATCATCAATTTTATTCAATATTTTCTAAAGTTGATCAGAATTCAATTTATTTATCTAAATTCTTCTTTTCTGATGCTAATTTGTTCTTCAAATTTTTATTTTCATTTACATATGTTTTCGGCTTCAATAATTCAACGGCTGTTTTTGTGTAAATTTATGTGATTAATGAAAATTTACAAATATATTTTTAATTTTGCATCCCCTTTTTTTTAACGATAATAAATTAAAATTATTATTTGTAAAGTTTAAGTATTTTACAAATGATATTTATTCTTATCTTTTCATTTCACTATCTTTGTTTCCATTTCCTTTAGATACTTCAGACCTGAGTTTAATATGTTAGATCTTTTAGATATTATACTAATTAATTTTGTTATTATTCTTATTAGCTCAAATTTTATGATGTTGGATTTCTTTTTTTTTTGAATCTCTCAATTTTATCAGAAACTGAGACAAATTTACTTTCCTAATTTATTATCTTTTTGGATAAATTATTTTGAATTGTATTAATAAGAATATTCAAAAAAAATTTTAAATTTTCAAAGTGCACACCGACTCTTTATGTTGTGGTTTTTAAAATAATTTGATATTAAAATTACATATTTTGAAAATTATTAAATAAAGGATAAGAATCCTCAGTCAACATAATTTAGAATGATTTCAGAGGCTATAGAACACTTTCTAATCCTGATCTTCGGTGTCGATATGACGAAATCTAAGCCTAAATGGAAAGATAATTAGCTTAGAAATTATCGAAAATGAGTCTAAGAAAAAGGAAGTCACTTAAATACAAAAGAAAAAATTAGAAAACATCATTTTTGATAACGTTCTAACATTTTCTATGATATTTGATCCATGGTTTCCATTTTTAACTCTATCGAAATGATCATAATAAGGTTTATAAATAATATTTATTACCAATAAAACCATCATTTTATATTATATCCAATAATTAAACTCAATTATCCCCAGCCTCCTCATGAATTCTATAATTTTAAATTTCTTTGTTAAATATATCTAATTGGAATGATTTGAAAATTGTTTATCAAGTTATACAGTAATACTCAAAAGTAATGAAAATATTATATGGAGTTTTTTAAAGATAGATACCCAACATTTTTTGACTCAATTCTTTGGTTTTATTAGATTAATATAATAAATATTCTTTCATAATTTTGAATATTTTATGTTATTATAAAATTCCATTTATAGTCCAAGTTTATATCTTTATTCTTGAAATGATTATTTAACAAAAGCAACCTAATTTTATATCTTTTTACATTAGTTTAATTATTTTATATAACAGTGTTATTTTTGCTATATTGATTATATTCACAAATAATTACTTTAACATCATTTTCTAAATAATTTAACATCCATATGTGATATATTGATTTTAGAAAAAGGTACCGCAATAATTAAATGTGATGTCTAAAACAAATTTTAACACTTATAAATTTATAAAGAGAAAGTATATAAAAGGGGAAACCCAAAAATAACAACTTAAGAAATTTTTATTCAAAGGCTATTTTGATTTAGATATTTGAATCAATATAAAATAATTAAAGATTGTATTTCCTATTAAATATGAGATATTTCACAAAATAGTGTTTTTAGCATTCAATACATCCAAAAATGATTGCTTCAATCCTCTTATTATAAATATTCAATATATTGGTTTTATAATTCTAAAATGATGAAATGAAATATTATTATATTCCTTTTCAAAATTCGGCTTTTTAGTAATCTACTTTTATTACTAAGATAGATTTACGTAATTCATTCGGAACCATTAATCCACTTAGACAATTATGTCTGCTATATTCATTAAATGAATTGTAATTAAATTTTTATTGATTAACTGAGATGTCCTACTCTTTCAACAAATAAATAACATGTATCACTTAAATGCCCTCCAAAATACTCATAGAGTTTCATCATGAATTAACTAATTCATAAACCAAGAATTCTAAGGAATTTATACAGTGTACAGAAATATTCATCATCAATTGATGGCCTTTGCTAATCATGTGAATAACCATAAGTTTTGAATATGACAATATCATAATTAAGTGGACTGAAAACTTTGCATAAGCCCAAGAAGACTAGTTTATGTTCAAAATCTATAAGTAATGAAAAAAATCCACTTTTGTGTCATTAATATCATGAAAGGAAACGATCAAATATGTTCACAAATATATTTAAATTTCTATGAGAGGAGTTAAAATAGACAGGCACATTTTATCTACATCTCTAATAAATGAAATTAATATTCATTATATTTTATTAATAATTTCTGATTCATGCTATACCTACCATATCAATTCTCTTGCTAAAACAGCTTTGTTATTTGTAAATCGTTAAGATAGAAGAATTAAAGTAAATATTAAAATTCAGATAATCATTTTGATATTAAAAACTTGGAATTATTGCATATGACTCAATTTAGTGGAAAACAGAATCCTTTAAATACAACTATAACTTTACCTAATTAGAAATATGAATCGACTTTGATTTCTTGTTTGTCTTAAACAAACATCAATTTGACAAATTAAATCAATTTGGTTAAAGAATATGTATCTGAAATTAATCAATACAACGTTAAATTGGAAGAATCATAGAAAATAACAAAGAACATCCCAAAAAATATTATTAGAAAAATATGCTACTTCAGATGACTCATCCTTATATTTAGAATCTTCAAGGTTTAAAATTGAGAGAAACTTTAATCAAATTTATAAATCAGGTAAGTTTCGATGGTTATATCCTGGTGAAGAAGCAGCAATTATTGAGGGTATAGAATCATTTCTAAATGAGTGTTCAAAAAGATATCTTTGTTGATGATGAGTATGTAGAAGATTTAAAATTTGATTATTAATAAAAAGAGGTTAGAGTATTTATTTAATTATCCCATCTGCTTGAAGTAAATTGAAGCTCATTGGAAGATTTTGGCTACAATCTTTAAATTGAAACAGCAAAATCGTGTATATAAAAACTAAGCGACAAATAAGTTGTGGAAAGATATTCAAACATCAAAAACATTGTTTTTAGATTTAAATATGGATAATAATAAATTGGTGCTTTTTGTCAAACAATTATAGAATTGATTTAACATGATTTTCAATATTTTAATTTTCGTCAAAAAAAATAAATGATATATGCGACAGAATTCATAAAAATAAATTAGCTAAAAATAATCTTTTTTTTCCTCTCCTCATAACTTTAGTTGCATCTCTTCTAGAAACCAATTAGTATTCTTCTGGAATCTAGAATAATGACTTTATTTTGTTATCTTCTATATCTAATTATTTGTATGCTTAAAATGTCACAACAGCGTCAATAGTAAAGTTAATTGGAATTTCTATTCTAACTGGAAATCCTTTATCTTTAAGTAATTATTTAACAGTCTCATTTGATAAAATTGTTTGTAAAGATGACATAAACTCATTCCCATTAGATAGCATTTTGATTATAGGAAGAAACTGCTAAAAATTTAATGGAAATGCTTGACTTATAAAAATTTAGCAAGATTATGAAGATTCTAGATGATTAAGGAAAATTTTACTTTTGTCATTCTCATTTTTGATATTGCTTTGTAGTTTTTTCTTTATTTAATCATTTTCCTACTTAAAGGAAGGTGAATTTACAAATAATTAATCTCCAACTATTTGACTTGTAATTTACTCCAAATTGAATCTTGCACTTGTAGGATTCTAATCCATAGATTAATTCAAATATTAATCTAAACTCATATAATAATTATGTTGATGCTTCTTATTGAAATGTTATGATGTTTGAATTCGAAATTCGTATTTCTAACAGATCCAATTATTAATTTTTTAGCTCACATAATTTCCAAAGAAATTCTTGCTTTTAATCAATTCACATCCTATGAACTTCATATCTCCACTTACACTTTCACAATTCACTAAGTCCATTAGAATTTTATTTTTTTCTTCAGGATCTATTTCTTGCTAATTTAATTTTATAATCTTACAATAGGATAATAATATATCTTTTTTGCTCTATTTAAAATAGTGACAAATTTACAATTCGAACTATTTTCTTTTCTCTAAACTGATCCCATTAATGGATTATAAATTACAGTGAGATCTCTTCTTTTAGTTTTGTAATTCTTTGTCCCTGCAAAAGTGGAGTCCAATCTCAAAGAAGAACCTGCATTATTAAACCAATTACCTCTCTTATATATTTTGAAAGTATCATTGGGAGTTAACTTGGAGATGAAAGGAATAAAGCTGGATTTGAATTCCCACTTCATTTCGAGATAGAAATCGTTTATTTTTAATAGTTCCTAATCAATTTAATTGCGTTCCTATTACATACCAAATAATTTCTTGGAAACTAAGTAATCAAACAATAATGATGTAGTTAATAAGTCATTCTGAGCAACAGTTTCTTCTATTGGACTCCACCCATTAGAATCTTTAATAGATGGATCAGAACCATTTGATAATAATAATCGAATTGTGGAAAATTGGTTCTATTATTGTTACAATTTTATTGCTAATAGTAGTGGTGTATTTCCATTGATATCTTTCATATTCAATATATCAGTTCTATATTCTTTTTACAATAGCAATACAATTTTAGTTAATAATTAAGTATTTTTGTTAAACACAGCTTCAACTATTTGATTTAAAAGTTCTTTTTCATTTAGTTTAATCGAGGATTGTTGAGCAAATGATTCATTACATGGAACATCAATAGTAAATTGACTATTATTTAGTGATTATTGGCATGATCTATTATGAATAAAATTAGAACTATTATTATTATTATTGATGCTAGTTTAATGAACATTTGATAGAAAGTACATTAAAGGAGAATTCACTTATTTAAAGGATTGATCGAAAGAAAGTTCTCCTACTTCTTTAGTCCTTTTAATAAAACTTAATGTATTATGATTGCTATCGGAAATAGGTGATGATTATCTTTAGATAGAAGGAGATTTATTTAACTTAACAGATTAATCGTCTTTGTTTATTAAGATTCTGCTAATTTGATTACCCTGCCAAAACTTTTTAGATTTTATTTCATTAAACATCTTAATTTTTTCATTAAAGAAACTATTCTTATATTAGCACAGAATGTTTGCTTTTTTGTTCTCATCTGATATATCAAATTCTGAGAGCTATATTTCCGAAGAATCATCACAAGATGATTCAGAACTTGATTCCTCATTTTTTTTATTGATTTTAAAATAAGTCTATGATTTAAGAGAACTTATTTAGCTAATACTCCTAAGACAAACTGTTTTATGCTTAAATTTTAATGTTAGATCATGTAATTTATCTAATTTCTCTTTTATAGAATCTTGATAAGCCTCTTCATCGCTGTATTCGAAAGTTTACATTTGATTATTAATAATTTTAAATATCCGTAATTATATAACAGCCATGGAATCTAATCACAATTGGCATTCATCTAGTATCATAATCTCAAAAGTCATATGAATTAAGCTCCTAAACAAGCAACTAGTTTTACAATATATTATTTTTTAGCACTTCCAAAAGGTAGTGATTCATTTAAGGCACTATTCTATAATAAATTTATTTAATCTTAGTTGCACAAAACATTCAAAATTTACTCTATGTTCAATAATTGGCTTCACAAATTGAATTCAAATGTCGTGTGTTGTTTAAATATTCAAAGATGTCTCATACATTCACATTTTATTAAGTATTTCCTAAAATAGTGAGATATTGAGGGATATAACTGCTGCTTCAACAAATACACCTTTTTTATTCATAATATTAGTCATTTTTGGACAGCATTTTGAGCATTATGTATAACATCGACTTTTAATTTCATATACTTCTGAAAGATAATTTTTGTGGAAAATTGCAATTTTAGCAAAAGGCATTTCATATTTATGTTAGACTCCATAATTAATATTCTGAGATTAAAAATATTCATAATTATAGTTGAAATCATTATTTTAGAAATTTTAGGAGAAAAGTAAAAAAAGATAGGAGGCTTGAAGCTAGTAGCCACACAATAAGTAAACAATATCAAAAGTATGAATAATAAAAAATAATTTTGGAATTTAGGAAGAAACATTATAAAATAATGAGAACCGTTTCTATTAATTTATTATTAATTCTCTTATTATATTTCATCAAATTTTTGTAATAGTTTAGTATCAAAATAAAATTAAACTTCTTTAACCAACGATGATTGTTATAAAGAGACATTAAATTAAGTGTAGGAATATTAATTCATGTTAAAGTAGAAATTAAAAATTAAAATTCATTATCCTGAAATATAATGAGATAGAAATACCTTGATTTTTGCAAAAGCAAATCAAATTTAACTTATGTGAGCAAATAAGGGTTGAAATAGTTTTGGACTATAGCAAAGAGAATAGAAGTTTGTTGTAGACTACAAAAATAATGACTCATCAAAAAAATTCTTAAACTCATTGATTAAACTGAGAAGAAAGAGGAGGTTTGAATTCTAGAAATAAATGTATCTAATCTAAAACTTTTCATGCCTACTAAATCTTTAAGAATGACAGGATATCATTATTTAGATCCTGTTTTGTACCCAGTATTATTATTACTAATATTACAATAGCATGTGGATTAGCGTCGGCTCTATTTTAAAGCAATATATGAGAACAAGATTTTTATTTTACTTTAAAATTGTTAACAGATTGAGAGGAAAATAATTGGAAGTTAAAAATGGATTTGCATCATCTGGCAAAATGGATGATTCGATTATTTGAATTATTTTATATCATGGTTTTGGTTGATGGAAATTAGTTTTACATCCTTCACTACATCTAATGCATTTATTGCAGCAAGTATAGTAATCATCTGCTCCACATTTCTTGCAAGAATAAAATTTTAATTTGCCACTGTGAAATAAACAAGAATCCTAATATTAGAATAAATAAATACTATATAATTGGTTCTAGGGTTATATAATAGATGACATTATTAGCATTCCTTTTTCGAACATTTTTGTAATTGCAATTCAGCATATTTGGAAATTGATTCTAAAATTTATGAGATGAGTTAGTTTTTTTGATTTCCAAGCTCTTCTTTTTATTTATACAAGTCTTTTAATAATTAAGGATCATTTTATTCAATATTTGGGGATACATCTTCATCAAATTGCATTAATGAATTTTGAGTATCCATTCCTTGATTATGAATTATATTGGTATGAGAAGGTTGTTTCTAATCCTAATGAAGGAACTCATATAAATAATTGACTGCATTAGGAACCAATTACTTTTATTATTCAAATACTGGGCTAGTAAATATCTGCTCTCTTTCTTAATCTATCAATAATTATTGCTGCTTTAATTATTCCATTCTTGTTATTTATTTTTCATATTGCTATTTTGTTTGTAATAACTTTTGCTCCTCTTCTTTCTCATTTTAAACATATTCATCAAGTTTCTTTTATAAGACATCATTCTCTTTAACAAGTGATTCTATTATAATAAGTTAAAGTACAAATTGTAGAATTATAACTTTAAACTATTAGTTGAGCATCCTATTCACTCATCATTGGATTATCAGATAAGACACTGCTGGTAAATGAGTTTGTCTCCTCGTGCATATTTTAAAAATAATTAAATTAATTCATCATAAATAATTTATACACGTATAAATATGTTTAAGATTTTGGCCTTACTATTAGTTGTTAAACTCTATGCCACAGATCTAAACTCATAAAATACTGAAGCAAACTAATTATCATAGTAATAATAATAAGAAATTGAAACAGAAGGAAAAAAAGGAAAACAAATAGGTCATCATAATAGAGTAATTGCTAAATTAACTGCTTATTGGGTCTTACAACCGTATCTATATAATATATATTTATTTATTATACTTACAATATAAATAGAAAAATTTATCTGTTTATGAATTTTAATTAATTTTTAATTTTTTTTAATTTAATTTTTCAGTTCATGAATTTTCTGAAGAGTGAGGTTAAGTGAATGAAATTATAAAGAGTTAATTTAATTTAGCTAGAGAATCTATCTTTTATAAAATCTAGACAACTATGTTGGAAGATTGCTACTCGAGGGAGCTTCAGAGGAAGAATTGAATAATGTGATGAAATCAATTTAGGAAGATAAAAAGAATTACAAATCATTCAAACAACAAATACCTGATTTTAGTTTTGATGTATTTAACAGTACTTCATTTGATTGGACTGTTACAAAAAATGATGAAACTTTGATGAAATATATTAGAGCACAATATATTTATAAGATATATTAGAGATTTGAGGAACGGGTTAATTAGAAGAATGCTGTTAATAATTAGTAGCACTAACGCTATTCAATAGCCAAATAAGCAATAAAGTGTTTTGCGGAGTTAAAAAAGAAAATTTCAGAAATGAGTAAAAAGAGCCAATTCAAAAATTCTGAACTGACAATAAAGATTAATTGGATATATATCAATTTTATCTCTCTCAAATAATAGGAATGAAAGACCCCATCAATTATTTACTTGCTGGAATCACTATATTTTGCTTCTGCTTGGTATTTATATTGGTATAATAATGAAAAATATTTTAGTTTATTCCAAAGTAAAGTCAGCTAACTCAGATACTAGATTAGATAAGTAGAAAAAGAAATACAAATACAAAAAGAGTGATTAGAGATCTGCATTTTTATTAATATTTTATTTAAATGTAATAATATTCACCCCGAGCAATTGTTTGGATGACTTATCTAAATTATTTGCCACAAGATTAAGCCCAATAATTGCCATTCCTTAAAAAATAATAGCAACTCTACAATTCTTATCTGGATGAACTCATAAAAAAGGAACACTTAGAGATTTTTACAATCTTGAACAATATAGACTCTGATCAGAATTCTCTCAGTTTTTGTGATTTTATGAACATAAAAACCCAAGTCGTCAATTCATGTATGGATTTACATGAATATAATCAAAATGAGCAGCTTTACGAATTGATTGAGAAAGATGTTCCGTATCTATTCTTTACTAAATTTTTAGTAGAACTTTACCAAAACAATCTATCCTGAAGGAACAAACCAATGCCAAATTCTCTTCATACTTTTTCACTGATTAATATAAAAGGAGAAAATAACAAAGTAACACTACTCCCACTCATTCTGATATTCTCATACGAATTTTATATATTTATGGCAAACTTAACCCTGCTATTAATTATATGTAAGGAATGAGTGATTTGCTTGCTCCATTGTATTTGATAATCAAAAATGAAGCAGACACATTCTTTTGTTTTACTAAAATCATGGCTCAACTTAAAGACGCATATATTTCCACTCTTGATTTTACTAAAACTGGAATCAGAGGGCTCTTGCTCAAATTTGAAAAATAATTCCAATAAAAAGAACCAAAGCTATATAATTATTTACATAGCCTTGGTATACATCCATATATGTATGGATATAGATGGATTATAACTTGCATGACACGCGAGTTCTATCTAGATTAAATCTATTAGATTTGGGATCTAATGTTACATGATCGCAATATGCATGATTTCATTATCAAATTTGCCATTGCCATTCTCAAATATTTGAAACCCTAGTTAATTGAAGCTGATTTTAAGTTGGCCTTTGATATTTTGATATATAGTGAAAAAGATGTTAATCAAATTCTCAATTTTATGTGATCCTATTAGTTTATAAGTATTTAGACTATCTGAGAAATTATCCATTATAATTATATATTGAATCTTTCTAATCAATCCTTTTATATAGTTGCTTTTTATCTATCCTATGGTTAATACCATGTTGTCAAAAACAAAATGGAAAAACTTTATATTTCATTTAGAATTTTTTGAGATTTTTTGAAAATAGAAAAAATATAAATGATAATAATTGAAAATGAATTAAAATTTGATTGCGATCAATTTCTTTCTACATCTATATACAACTTACCTCAATCAATAAATATGAATTGCTATATTATTTAAAAGCATATGGTTCAATATGGAAAAACTAAGTCATTTAATTTCAAATAATTATATATTATAAAATAGTGAAATGAATTTTTAATGAATTTCAATCCATACTTTCTTTTTTTCAAAAATAATTTAGATATTAATATAATTAGTAATTTTAATAGATCAACAAAATGATAATATTCTAATATTTCTCTATACGATTTTGTTCATTGTTAAATCTCTTCTTGTTTTGAACTTTCTTTTTTTCAAACGACTTTCAAGAAATTATTCAGCCAAAGTATTCTTTCTTGTCTATTTTATTAAAGGAATGGCTGGTTGATATAAAGCATCTAGTTCTTTAAATTAATTACTTTCTACTGATGAGCTCTGCTACAATATATATTATTTTGTTTTGTTAAAACTACTCTATGTCCAAGGTCGACATTAAGATGCTGTTATATTAACATTACTTTCATGTTATTGATTATTCAAAATTTATTAATTCCTTGATTTTATTCTTCCTCTTTAAGTAGAATCATTAGCATTATAAAACGAGGATTAGGTTACTTGTTAATATTTTTGAATTGCTTATTTTTCTGCATTTGGAATCACTTTAATAGTATTTGATTAAATTTTAATTTACTTTTTTGCTTAGAGAATGCTCTCATTCTTTATTAATTAAGTACTTTTCTCCTTTTGGGAAATATGTATTTTATCCCTGCCTTTTTCAAATATTTCGAAACCACATTATTCGATGATTTTTCTATTGGAATTAACATCTTTTAGTTACTCATAAGTAAATGATAATCTTTGATCTTCAATTACGCTCAATTCATTTTATAAACAAAGGATTAAATGTTTATTAAAATATCCATAATTTAATAAACTGGTATCCAAATTGATTTACCTTAAAATGATCTTTTTAAATGACATTAAAACTAGCATTTGTGATTAACTTCCAATTATTATTTTTGGCTCCAAATACACTTAAAAGTCATTATAATAATATTCATCACCATCAATTTCTATGATTGATTATTAAAAGTCATCATTTTAATATTTAAATTTACTAAGTTCTCCTGAATTAGTAAGAATAAAAATATTATTTTAAAGAGAAAGCCATTTCTTAATTTCAATTTTGAAAGTAAACTACTTCAATAATTAAATGTTATTATCTTTCATTTTTAATAATTTAAAAACATTGTGCTCATCAATTGTTAATATGCAGATATCATTATTTAAGACTTTAAATATGGTGGAAAGTTTAATAGAACATCTATTATAATTTAATTCGGAAATGCTTCTATTAAAATTAGGTAGTTTAAATAAAAGTATTTATCCTTATTAGATGTATACAAATAAATATACTTAATTAAAATCAATTTCAATAAATTTGAGATTTATTATTTTATTTTTCACTAATGCGCCTTCACTGTTGTGCAGGCGATCACCACTTATAACAATATTGATTGTTTCCCCTTGAAATTTAAGGATGTCACTTGCTTCTGTCAAAAAATAATATGTTTCTTAAACAAAATGAGCTTGAATAATTGTTTGTTTAGTTTTTATGTAGTGAGTATTAAATTTATTTGGGGATAACATTTAGATTAAACTATTGTTATCAAATAAAAATTAAGGATCAGAAATTCCTTCTATTAAGCATCGAATATCAGATTTATGTTAATATAGTAAGCGTTGCTCTAATTACCTATTTAAAATATAAAGACTTTGATGGAAACATGCAAACAACCTGTATTAATTGATTATAAATAGGTGTTTATACTAAAGACCTATTTTATAAATTTACAAACATTGCCATGTTTTGATTGAATAGAGGGAAATTTCATTATTAGAAGAAGCCCAAAACATATTCTCATCATTTTTATCATTTTGTAATTAATCAACATTTGATCCATGCTCGATCTCAAAAATATTAATAGGCTAATTTTAATTGTACAGTGTCCAAGTATAAATCTTACCGTCCTTTGTACCACAAATAATATAATACAATGCTGGGAAATAAAGTAAACAAGTTATGCTATTTTTGTAATTGGTTATGTTTATTTTCTCTGATATCAATTAATAATTTTGAGAATAGACTTTTAGAGTATTTTATTCCCATAGAAATATTAATGAATGTTATAAAGAGAATCCAATGAAGTATTTATTAGAGTTTGTAAAACATAATTTGTTTAATAATATTACTTTAATCTACAATGAAGTTTTTTTGATCTCCATAAAGATCTACTCTATTTTGCTATCTTAAACTACATATAAGGAAATAGTTTCATCTATAAATTGAATCGCTATAGGATATGAGGTAATTACGGATATTTTATTGAAAAAGACTAGATTTGATGAAAGAATATAGATTTACCAATCATCAAACAGAATGAAGTATATATCATATTTCTTTGAATAAGTGACTTTAACAGGTTTATAATGTTATGCAAAAGTATTATATTGAATTTAATGGCTAATTGAATAGTTGAGGGTATTTATATCCTGTAGCAATTTTCCATTCATTATTACTAAATTAAAAGTGGACTTATATAATATTTGTAAATCTCCTTTAATGCTAGTTATTTCAGTTGGAACGTAACCTAAATTTAAAGTTAAAGACATTATATATTAAATAATAAATAAATATTGAATAGATAAATCTAAATAAAAAGATATACACTTTAATATATTAATATCAATGGATTAAAATTAAATAGCTCCAGATGCATGTATCATTGAGATGGACCCTGAAATTTATATTCACAACATTAAAGAATTGAGAATTTCTACAGGCGATAAAGTCAAAATTTGTGCTGTAATGAAGGCAGATGCTTATGGACATGGAATTGAAGTTATGATGGATTCTATTGTAAAATCGGGTGTTGAATATATCAGTGCTATTGACAATTGTGAATTTAGAATCATGTAAAAATGGTTTAAAGAACACAATGTTAATCATCTTAGATTACTTAGGATTGCACCAGCTACCAAAGAGGAATTAATTGAATCTATCATTAATAATTGGGATGTAGAGGAAGTTGTTGGATCATTAGAACAAGGCTAATATTTCTCAAAAATTATTACCGAGATATCGTAGAAACTTGGAAGAGATATTGTAGTCAAAATACACATTAATGTTGAGACTGCTATGGGTAGAATGGGTTTTAGAAAAGTTAGTGATGTCAAACTCACCTAACAAATAACTAATTTAAAAGTAGTGGGAATTATGACACATCTAGCCAGAGAATATGAGGCTCCTCCAAATGACGAAATAGCCACTAGAGCTTAAGTAGATTTATTCTAAAACTTTGTATCACAATTAACCTTAGAATCAACAGTCATTAAACATGTAGCTAATTCGGCTGCCTTAGTCAAAAAGAAATATACATAATTTGATATGGTTAGAGCTGGCTCTATTGCTTATGGGGAAGATAAAGATTAATACTAAGACCCTAGGGGTGTAATTAAACCTATTTTCCATAAATGGAGAACCAGTGTTGTCATTATTTTAAGAGATGTTCCTCCTAATAGTCCTATTGGTTACAATGGAATCTAAAGAACCAGATCAGATAGAGACTCAACAACAGCAACAATAAGAGTTGGTTATGATTATGGATTCCCATAATATGGTTGTCTAAACAATCATTTTGTCTTAATTAGAGGAAAAAGATTCCCAATTATAGGGAAAACATCGATGAATATGCTAGTTGTTGATATCACAGAATAAGATCAAGAAAATTAAGTTTAATTAGGAGATGAAGTTGTTATTGTTGGAAAATAAGGTAAAGAATTTATTAGTTGGGAAGAATTTTCAGAAAAGTAGAAAAAAGGAATTACTGAATAATATTTAGAAATTGCAAATCAATGCCCAAAAATTATTGTTAAATCTGAATGAGTTTATACATTATTATAGCAATAAAATCATAATTATGCTAAATTCTCATGTTTAATATATATTTTGTTTCAAAATCATTTTGTTCTAAAATATAATGTATAATCTATTTTGTTTCGAAATAGAATGTTGAATATATTTTATTTCTAGATTTTAAATTTATTCTTTCTATCTAGTATTAGTTTTGTTTTGGAGATTATTTTTTTCTCATCATATTTTTTTAGTTCAGTTTAAGAATTTTATTAATGCTCTACTATTTTCAAGAATAAATAACATACCTTTTGTATTTTTTTCTTTAACAATCATATATAATTGTTGGATTTACAATAATGGATTTGACCAATAAAAGCAAAGTAAATAGAGAAAAGAAAGATGTCTAATTCTTAATTGGTAAAGAAAGTGCCTTTGAAGAATTTTGAGTAGAATAACTCTCATGCTGCGGGTGAAAATAAGTTTCTCGTTAGATTAGCTTACAAATACATATTGAGACTAATCAATCTAAAAGTAAAATAAAAAAATGTTTTGGATTTGGTTATTGTTGAATTTATAAGACATATATCAATTTATGTAATAGGATAGAATTTAAGAGCCTGATGCATTATTTTAAGTTAATACTAAGAATTTATTCCTTTCTAAATTTGATTATTATTATATGTATAATTGTTTAAAATTAGTATTATTTATGATTTCGTGGTTATCTATTATTAAGGATGTTGAAGTAAATTAATTAAAATTCCAAGCCATGAACATTAATACAATAAGTCTTATCTAATTATAAAACGTAATAATTAAATTAAATATTATTCTTCATAAAATGGCAAATAAATCAAAAGAACTCTTGTTAGATAATAACAATATGCTTTACAATTAGAATTAATAAATCGAAAACATTGTAACTACATTAGCATAGACAAATCAAACTGCTGCGACTGTTTAAGAGAAGCTTTTGGATTAAGGAGAAAAAATATAGAATATAGCAAATACGGTATCAATTAACTTAAAAATTAGAACAAAGATATATAAAGGGAGACAAGAAGAGTTGATAAGCAAACAAACTAAATTATTAGGAGGGAATTCTATATGAAACTAATTCTCTATCTAATCGCATTACTCCTATTTGCAGCAAATATTATCGTGCTTGCAATCAAATTATCTAAGGATTGAAAAATACATAAAATTAAATACATAGATATAAAAATTTTCTGAATTAGTTATCAACAAATATTTTTTCATTATTTTATTGATGATTTTTATTCATTTATTCTAAAAAAATACATCATGAAATATGTAGGGAATATTTCAAAATGAGATTTTGGTTGATTTGTTGCATGGAGATTTAATAATCATTAAATACCTTTTAACCTTTTTCAATGATCATGAGGTTGATACTTTATGGGAAGCAAGGGATAACCATTGGATTTGGTTCTTTTAGTAATTAGTTGATAAGTTAAAAATTTCAGATTTCTAATGAATTTCTTTCCCTTCATATATTAGATGTATTTTGCTTGTAATATATTGAGTTTCTTGATTCTTGTTCAAAGAAGTTCACCTTCCACTAAAATTCATTTTTTGTTCATTAATTTGGGTTGATCAAATCTTTAAGAAAAACATCTAAGAAGTCTAAAAACAAATTTTTCTCTCAAAATAATTTTTCCAGACTTATAGTTGAATCATATTAAAATCTAAATAATGATAATGTGATAATAAATTAATTTATCATGTAAATTTGAAATAAGATGCACCAAAAGTCAGTCATCAATTGCATTATACTTCACTAAAAGTATAACTATTTCTTCTTACATTCATTATTCTTCTAAGCATCTTTCTAATTTTTTCTCTTCTTTTCAATATGAAAGTCCATAGATTGGTGAAAGCCCAGTTCTGTTTTTAAATTTTTAAGTTTTTCCGATTGTGTTTTATATGCAGGCTGTTATTTGAATCTCAATAAACATTAATTTGTTTGTGAATTTCCAATATAGGAAATTCCCACGATTTTATTACTATTAAAAATGAAATACAGAAAATCTTCATAAAACTAAAAAATGAAGACTGTTAATTTCTAATTTATGGTACCAATATATTTTGTGAATTACCAATTGCGAAAATTCTGAATGTAAATTTTACAATAAGGAAATAAGTGTGTTTTATCGGGTTAATTCTCCTGTATCTCTTTTAATTGTTAAAATATTTTTATCATAACTTTCTTCCTAGCCCCAAATTCTTTGTTCTCAAATAAAAAGACACCANTGCATGGAGATTTAATAATCATTAAATACCTTTTAACCTTTTTCAATGATCATGAGGTTGATACTTTATGGGAAGCAAGGGATAACCATTGGATTTGGTTCTTTTAGTAATTAGTTGATAAGTTAAAAATTTCAGATTTCTAATGAATTTCTTTCCCTTCATATATTAGATGTATTTTGCTTGTAATATATTGAGTTTCTTGATTCTTGTTCAAAGAAGTTCACCTTCCACTAAAATTCATTTTTTGTTCATTAATTTGGGTTGATCAAATCTTTAAGAAAAACATCTAAGAAGTCTAAAAACAAATTTTTCTCTCAAAATAATTTTTCCAGACTTATAGTTGAATCATATTAAAATCTAAATAATGATAATGTGATAATAAATTAATTTATCATGTAAATTTGAAATAAGATGCACCAAAAGTCAGTCATCAATTGCATTATACTTCACTAAAAGTATAACTATTTCTTCTTACATTCATTATTCTTCTAAGCATCTTTCTAATTTTTTCTCTTCTTTTCAATATGAAAGTCCATAGATTGGTGAAAGCCCAGTTCTGTTTTTAAATTTTTAAGTTTTTCCGATTGTGTTTTATATGCAGGCTGTTATTTGAATCTCAATAAACATTAATTTGTTTGTGAATTTCCAATATAGGAAATTCCCACGATTTTATTACTATTAAAAATGAAATACAGAAAATCTTCATAAAACTAAAAAATGAAGACTGTTAATTTCTAATTTATGGTACCAATATATTTTGTGAATTACCAATTGCGAAAATTCTGAATGTAAATTTTACAATAAGGAAATAAGTGTGTTTTATCGGGTTAATTCTCCTGTATCTCTTTTAATTGTTAAAATATTTTTATCATAACTTTCTTCCTAGCCCCAAATTCTTTGTTCTCAAATAAAAAGACACCATATATTAGTGATGAATATAGGAAAAATAATTTTTACCTATTACTTATTTTCAAATATATTGGTCAATTTCTAAATTTTTATTTTCCTGAAATTAGTTAATTCAGAATACCATTCAAAAATGTTGTGTAAATTGGGGGATTTCGAACAAATATTTTGTCCATAAAGAAAATAATTTATAAAAAATAGCTCTACTTTATTTAGAAATTTGAATGGTGAAAATAATTTTTCATATTTACACTAATCTATATTAATTTATATTAGATGAGTTAAATAAGCATATGTTATCTCCTTTTCTGATAAATTATATTAATATTCATTTACTTAATTCAATACATTAAAAAAAAATCAACTCCGCTAGATATGTATAATCTCTTTACTAAATTGTACTATTAAAATAATCATTCAAGAATTTTTTGTAGTAAGGTTTAACTCTGATATTATTTTTATACTATTTTAATTTCATTAACATTTCTATCTTCAACAACACCACTTCTTAATTTACACATAACAATTAGATCGGCCTTTTGATTATGATAGGGTATTTTTTCTTTAATTAATTATTTTTGCTCTTCCTTCAAATGTCAGAATTCACAAATATAAGCTGTTTTTTTGAGCAAAAGATTTAATTTAATATGGATAGATTGATGATATCTTCATTTTTCAATAACTCTGAGTTTAGTTTAACTAATTAATAAATTAAACTTTGTTCTATTAAACATTCTCATAAATCCTATCATTATATGGGCTGCCAGGATATCAAAAATAACCTTATTATTTTGACTCATTTGTTTTCATTTTGTATGGGTATGATATTTATAATTTTTCTAAAGGTCGAAACATTTGATCTTAAATTAAAGGCATTTCTTTGGATGGGAGATAGAATAATTTTTCAAACTAATCCTAAATTTTTAAGAGACCTTATTCATTCTGGATCAGGTATTATTGGTGAAATATTAATTTATGGTACATATTATTTAAATCCCTCTAATTATTATGTCATTGAAACTTCTAACAAATTAATTACTTTAACATTAATATTGTCATTATCTGCAACAATTTATCATTTACCATATCGAATTTCTAATTTTTTTGATAATAAATGCTTACTTTATCCATCGCCTATTCCTCGCGTGTAAATTCTAAAATTAGGGTCGGTTAAGTTTAAACCAAATTTAAAATTCTCTCAGAGAATCTTCTGCATCTGTCAAAAAAAGGTAATAAAAGTTTCTAAATGAGTTTTATAATCCTCATTAAAAATACCATACTCCAAATTAAATTGAAACAATTATATTATTATCACATGTGAAAATTGTTTCAGATTAGACACTAACCTTACTTATAAGATAGCTTCATTTAAAGATTACTAATTATAATATCGGTGTTTAGAAAAAATTCTTTTATATGGGGATCCAAATGATAGAACATTAAAAAGCTATCTTCTGGTGAGCTTTTTATGAATAAAATCAATGATTCAATTGCTTTATTTATTCTTTTCACCCTTAAATCCACTTCTATCTATAAATAGATATAATTTTCTCTATTTGCTTATGTATTTGATGATAAATTCAACCAACTTACATAAGATGAAAATGCATCGTCAAAAAGGTATCATCAAATTAGGGACATTTTACAGATCACGCAATTAGGATATATTTTTATTTTCTAATACTTCTTTGAATTTGGGATTAATGGTAAAGTTATACAATATTTAATACATTTTAAAGCATAATTATTTGTATATAATTAAGAAATAAAATATCCATGTAAGAAAAAATGAGGTTAATTAATACCATCAGATTAAAGAAAAACTCAATTTTTTTATTTGTTGTAAGGTTTTCTGGACATTTTAATCAAGAAATGATTATTAACATTTTTGTAAAATTAACTTTGAAAAATTAATGATCACCATAAAAATGTTATTTATTTCTGCAATTAATATATACTATAATACTATATCGATAGTTTCATAAGTGACCTGTCGAACTACACTTTATTGTATTTATTGATATAATTAACGGTAATTTACAGGGTGATTTTTTAGTTAATAGACTGTAAGAAAACTAGAATCTACCATTCTTGAACATACTAGTTTCCGAAATTAATTCAAATACGTTTTTAAGTTAAATAGATTAAAACTTATTTTTAATGATCTTATATGAGCTAAACATCAAATCTTCCTACTTTTTTAAAGCACTTGTTTATTCATCCTAATGACTTATTATCATTTTCAATATTTAAGGCTTTTTCATTGTCTTGTTTTTGCTCCACAAATTCTTTTACAATGCCTAAGACTTTAAATCACCCAATTCAGCTATATCATCTGAATCCTTTTAGATGGCAGACATATATTCTAATACAATTGGAACTTCATGATACTGTTCGTTATAGGTTTATTATATTTCTACAATTGGCAAACCAGGTTGGACATTAATTCATTGCAGAAATCAATGCCTTAATTTGACAGAGTTCTAATTATTTTCGATTAAGAGATTCAAAAATAATTTGAACTATGTGTAATCATAATAACTGTCATTGTATATCCTTTCTAATCTTTAGTTATAAACTGAAATTAGTTTAACAACCAATTAGTTTTTATACGACAATATTAGATAAAAATGAAGTTTATTGAACTAATCACGAATATCAATATGATAAGGTATTATTTCCACTAATTTATGTCAATTTGTCTTTAATTATTAATTATAAATAATATTTATGATACATGCTGTTATGAATTTGACCATTCAACCATTCAATAGAACTCAATAATCTGAGATTATGATTTCGATAAACAAAGAAAACAGAGTTCTTATCCAGAGAAAACCTTTTCTTAATTATTGAAAAAAATTAGCATATATTTAATAATTTGATGAATAATTAAATTCTATCTTCATCAATAGAAAGCATAATAAGCTTAAATCTTTAATGTTGACATATGCTCATATAAGGTATTTCCGTTTTAGTTGTAGAATTTTAATTTTGAGACTTATTATTAATCAAATTTGACAGACATTACACCTGGAGGGGCTGAACCTTCATATATTAGTGTTTCTGTCATTCTATCATCTCCAATTGCAAATACTTGCATATGGGTTATCCTACTATCGTAATCGTACATCCAAAATCTAATCTTATTTATTAAATATGATTATATAAATTCAATCATTATTGTACCATGTAAAGGAACGGCGACATGCCCTACTTACCCGTTATATGGAAAATAAATTAAATCTCTTATAGGACTATTATCTATAGCTGGCACTATAAACATATTAGTTCTAGCAGATGTTAACATTGCCCCATTATATAATTGCATTACATTCAGGTAATTCCTTCTTAATATTGAATTTGATGTGATCTTATCTAAACAATAACTCCCATTTACACCTGATGCAAATATGGAGAGAATTGTAAAAAAAGAAATTTTCTCATTTATTAATATTAAATGACATTTAGTTTGTCAGTTAATTTTTTTAAAGAAAGTTTAATAAGGATTAGAGGAGATTTTAACCTCTATAATACTATATTCATTATTACTTCCATATAGTTTCAACTATTAGGCAAAAAAATTAAAGTTTATTTGATTGTATTCTAAATATTCTGTTGATCTAAAAATGAGATAGATTATTTTTATTTAAATATCTAATGCCTATTTGATTAAGTATGATAATGACTAGATATTATAAGTATAAGCATAAAAATGTTTTCGATTTCGACTTTATTTTTTTATTAACTATCTTTCTTAATAGAAAAAGAAATAATTTTTATAATGAGAATTTGTACCAATCATCCTTAAGAAACAATTAAAAATGTTTGTATTGCTAACCATTAATGTAAAAGATTTCTATGTCAAAAATGCTTAAACAGCCATGGAGTAGGAGATTTGGATAAATTAAAAATAGAGGACTTTAATAAAATAATACAAAATCAATTTGAGGTTTTCAAATAGCAAGCTAAATCTCTACAAAAAGAACGACAAAAGAATGAAATCAAAGAATTTCTAAAAGAAACCAAGAATAAATTGGCAAGAATAGAGAAAGAGATATCCTAATAAATTGAAATGATAGACAAAGAAGAACAATACTATTTTGATCTTATAACCTCTAATTCTCCTATAGTAAATTACTCAGATTAGAATATAAACTCTTTAATCGAGATAATAAGAAAAAAACTAGAAAATTGGATTTTATACAAAAATGGTTTTTATGAATAATTAATGAGGATTAAAGACAACTTAGAAGATGACATATCTTAATGCTTAAATTCTATTATTACATAAAGGTAAAGAATAGGAATAACATATAAGTACTTTGGATTGTAAAGGATTAAAAAGATATTGTGCTAAATTGCAAGAAACTCAATTTTAAGTTATGTATACAAAAAATATGGAAATGAATTATGTTCAAGATGGAGAAATTCTTAGATTGTATTCCAAATATCTATTTTTGAAGTGATGCAATAGAAGATTACAACAATAAACCTTAGATAATGAAAAATTTATAATAGATTAAGCACCTAAATTGGCATGGTTCTTTTAACTTAAATTACAAAAAGTAAGGAATGTGGTACCCAACTTGGAAAGGCGTTAAACTCGATGCTGGAGGGAGTTATTCAAATGGATTAAAGTAGGGAAATTGGAAAGAATTAGTTTAAAATTATTGGGAGTATTTTGATAGATAATCTTAGAAAAGCTGAAGTGTTTTAATAGGGGAACTATTAAAATAATTAGAAGAAGGGTGTTTGGTAAATCATTCGCAACAATAAACCAATGTATTATAGTTTAACAATTATTTAGTCATGAGAGTACTTACTCTGAAAATGGAATAAAGATTGGAAGAGGATTTGAGTTACATGATAATTATCATGAGTATTTCTTTATATACTTAAAATAGAGGGAATTAAGTTATTTTAAATGGAGAATACAAACAGGGGAAAAAAATTGGCAAATGGAATACTTTGTTAGAGGAAAAAGTATTATGTAAGATTAATTCATAATTATTAGGCAGTGGAGTGTACGATGATTAAGGAATAAAGCGTGGTTAATGGGAAGAATTGCATAATAATTTTTTCGAGTAATAAATAACCAAATTTTAGATCTAACTATCTAATTGAGTCAGGATTATATTTAGGCTCATAATTTGGATAATTACCAATTTCATGGAAATCTGGGTAATGGAATATTAAATTTGAAGGCAATGTTATGTTAAAAATTAATATTAATTTAAAGTGGTGGTGGTTAATATGAAAATGGATTTAAGAATGGATAATGGACAGAAGTGCATGATCAATTTTCTAAGTTTTTTCATTCATAATATTTATAGAGAAAATTAAGTATTTTACTAAGGTGTCTATAAAAATGGAAAAAAAGTTGAAGATTGGAAAATTCTATTTAAAAGTGAAGAAGTAAGTAAATTAGAATTAATGTAAAATCTCAATATTATTTAAAGTGGTGGAGGCAAATATGATGAAAATGAGTTAAAAACTGGTATTTGGAGAGAATTGCATGAGAATTTTTATACGTAATATGATAAGCATCTTTAGTTATGGATAGATTATTTATTAAGGTGTTTATAGTAAAGGGAAGAAGCAGTAAAAATGGGTGATTTAGTATCGACCTCAAAAAGAGTCAAATTTTATAGAAATGTATTTTATTTTTTAAAATAAACCTAGAGGTGGAGGATTCTATGACTCAGAAGGAAGGAAAGATAACCTTTGGGTAGAATTACATGCAAATTTCTCACAGTAATTGATATTAAAATAAAAAAAGACAACGAGAAGTGTTATATAAGGGAATATACAAAAATGGAATAAAATATGACCAATGGGAAACTTTATAGATGATGGACAATAGAGAGGAAATAAGGAATATGTAATTAGAAGAACTGTCTAATATTTTAGAGGAGGAGGATGTTACGATGAAAATTAGTTGAAAAATGGCAAATGGACTGATTTGTATGAAAACTTCAATAAGTATTTAATCTTTTATTAATTAGTGATGCTCAAGTAAGATATAAGGGAGAGTATAAAAATGGTAAAAAACAAGGTTCATGGAAAATTGACTTTAGAGAATCAAAGGTAATAAAAATTGAAATGACAATGTAAATAATTTATTATTATGATTTAGTGGTAATGGAGATTATGATGAAAATGGAAGGAAGAGTGGTGAATGGGTGGAATTAGTAGATGATTTTGATAAGTACATCAGTTATTCTATCTTGAAGATGGAAACAAATAATTTATAAAGGAAAATATGTTGAAGGTGTTAAGGTAGGAGATTGGAATTAGTGGATAAGGAAAAGTAATTAAGGGAACTTTGTTCCTGATGTAGAAGATGGAAGTAAGAACTGATATCAATAAATATAATACATTTGATAGATTAATATGGTGTTGATATATTCAGTTTTGACCCAAAAAGTTGATATATCTGTAATAACTTCGATAATTTCTATTCTTCTTATTGATGTTATACTTTTCTGGCTATATATTTTAATTATTGAATAGTGCTCCTTTAAGTTAGCTAGATAGATATCTCTCTTTTATCATTTTAGTATCAAGCATTAAAAATTTGAAAATGAAGGAATATTACTTTTATAAAATTATCTTATAAATTTATTTCCTAAAATAATATTAATATACAAATTTTTTTATGAATACTCACTTTCTATTTCTTATTATCCTTTGCTACAGAAGTATAATATTAATTAGGTCTTTAAAATGTTAAAGACTGGAAATGAAATCAGATGAATTGTTTTTGTCAGAATATTCATCATCATTTTTTTGGAAAGTGATTTTAATGACGAAATGCAACTAAAACATATCCATTATCAAATAGTAAAGCCGATATTAAAGATACCTCAATAAGAAAAAGGACTAATAATTTCATCCTAAATCTGTGAAATGTTGAATCAACCATTATTGGGAAAATATTTTTGTTATCTCTAGAGATTATTTATTTATAGTATCTTCTGTGTGGAAATTAATTAAGATTTCCTTTCAAAAGAATTAGATTCACTTTAACAGAAATACTTCTAATATTTCGAATTTAGAGTTGAAACTGACTTCGAAGAAGATTGTGAAGAATTTTTTTCCAACCACTAATAATTTTTCATTTTTTGCTAAATCAGAAATTAATTAAGAGTGAAATAAATAAATTTATTACAGAAAACATCAATAATAAATATATATTAATTAGAAGAAAAGTAAATATAAAATTGCAAAAGAGAATACATAAAAATATCTGAGAGTATTTATTTCTTAGTACATTTTTAATGTTACTCATGGGAAATCCTCAATTTCTAAAAAGAATAAATAGTTGTATTTTTAAATAACTAAATTGTACTAAATAATTTTAACGTAAATATTACTTATCTTCAAAAAGTTCAAATTTGCTCCATTAACAATAAATAAAATTCACTATTAATTAACAGATATTTAATAACTGATAAAGGATACCATCATCTAAATATTTTAGATAATAATTTAATTAAATATAATTATTACTTGGAAAAAGAAAATTTAGAAAAGATTTTATTTAATTCTCGATGTCTCCACACGTATTAAATACATTCAATATCAGATAGTAAATTGATATTGGAATCCTCACATCAAATACAAGAATATGATAGTAATTAATTTGAAAGTTATTATTTAAAAATATAATGTTTGTGTAAACATTGCAGGGACTTGAAGTCATGTTTAATGACCTTTTTTATTAAAATTATTCCTTAAATTTTCATAAATTACATTTCCTTCCCGCCCTTAACATATTTTATCAAATAGATAGCAGCACTAATTAGATTTTATTGTTTTAATTTTAATTCATTCGCAATTTTATAAAGCCTACTAAAAAATACTTATACGAATTAACTGATTATCGATAGAATTATGGCATCCATAAATGCTATTAAATCGAAAATATCTAATAACAAATTAATAGTTTTTGGACTTTATCATTCGATAATTAATGCTAAACTGTTGAAAATTTGTGGCTATAAAAATAGGCTACATCAATCCCAATTCAATATCAAATAAAAATTAAAGATGATCCAAAAAACCAAATTGCTAATAGAATTAGTATTTCAATTCTACTTATATTACTGATGAATCTCTAATTCATGAAAAATGTAAGAGTTTAGATGAAAAAATTTCTAAACATTGAATTTGAATTTTATCTATTATTCTTAAGAATTTAACGTTATATTAATTAAAGGGGAAAACTATTTGATATTTAAGCATTGCATTAGTGGTCAAATAATTAAATATCATACTTTTGAACAACAGGTATATTTCTATAAAACAAATATTCTGTTAATAAGAAAAGACAATAAGATGATTAAGCTTGTCCAATATTAAAATAAAATAAATCAGTTTAAAAAAATATAAAATACTAGATTCAAAACATTTTATAATTTGAATAGTTTGTTCCAATTTTGACTGAAAATAAAAAAAATTGTTTATTCGTTGATATCTAAGCCTAATCAGTCTTGTAACCATTTGAATGGATGCTAAAATTTCTAAATTCAATAACAATCAACATTAACTAAGAAAACTAAGAAAAATAATTCTTTTTTTATTATTTTGGAGATATAATCTGTCTTCAATTTAATGAACACTTTATCACATTTCATAAAGAGAAATATTAATATTTTGTAATGAAAAACCTTCAAATATTAAAAATATAGTAAATCATAATTAATTTCCTTTAAATCTTGGCAGTACATCAAATGTAGCACATCTAAACAATATTCTAGCTCATCGTTTAACTATATAAATTAGAAGATGAATAATTTCTGAATTATTTTGCTATAGAAGATATATTGTATGTTTTTTATTTAGCTAAAGAATTAACAAAGGTTTATGAATATTCACTTTCGAGTTCAAAACTTTTTAGGCCATTAACATACTCAATTAATTAAAATTTCCTTATTATTACAGTTACATAAGATGAAGAATATTAATTGTGTATTTTCGCAATTTCTAAGAATAAAAACTTAGGGTTAATCAAAATTATAAAGTCCAGTAAATTATAATTCTTTTTAGAAAACCATAATTTATATTNTTTCATAAATTACATTTCCTTCCCGCCCTTAACATATTTTATCAAATAGATAGCAGCACTAATTAGATTTTATTGTTTTAATTTTAATTCATTCGCAATTTTATAAAGCCTACTAAAAAATACTTATACGAATTAACTGATTATCGATAGAATTATGGCATCCATAAATGCTATTAAATCGAAAATATCTAATAACAAATTAATAGTTTTTGGACTTTATCATTCGATAATTAATGCTAAACTGTTGAAAATTTGTGGCTATAAAAATAGGCTACATCAATCCCAATTCAATATCAAATAAAAATTAAAGATGATCCAAAAAACCAAATTGCTAATAGAATTAGTATTTCAATTCTACTTATATTACTGATGAATCTCTAATTCATGAAAAATGTAAGAGTTTAGATGAAAAAATTTCTAAACATTGAATTTGAATTTTATCTATTATTCTTAAGAATTTAACGTTATATTAATTAAAGGGGAAAACTATTTGATATTTAAGCATTGCATTAGTGGTCAAATAATTAAATATCATACTTTTGAACAACAGGTATATTTCTATAAAACAAATATTCTGTTAATAAGAAAAGACAATAAGATGATTAAGCTTGTCCAATATTAAAATAAAATAAATCAGTTTAATAAAAATATAAAAGAATAGATTCAAAATATTTTATAATTTGAATAGTTTATTCTAATTTTGACTGAAAATAAAGAAAATTGTTTATTCATTGATATCTAAGCCTAATCAGTCTTGTAACCATTTGAATGGATGCTAAAATTTCTAAATTCAATAACAATCAACATTAACTAAGAAAACTAAGAAAAATAATTCTTTTTTTATTATTTTGGAGATATAATCTGTCTTCAATTTAATGAACACTTTATCACATTTCATAAAGAGAAATATTAATATTTTGTAATGAAAAACCTTCAAATATTAAAAATATAGTAAATCATAATTAATTTCCTTTAAATCTTGGCAGTACATCAAATGTAGCACATCTAAACAATATTCTAGCTCATCGTTTAACTATATAAATTAGAAGATGAATAATTTCTGAATTATTTTGCTATAGAAGATATATTGTATGTTTTTTATTTAGCTAAAGAATTAACAAAGGTTTATGAATATTCACTTTCGAGTTCAAAACTTTTTAGGCCATTAACATACTCAATTAATTAAAATTTCCTTATTATTACAGTTACATAAGATGAAGAATATTAATTGTGTATTTTCGCAATTTCTAAGAATAAAAACTTAGGGTTAATCAAAATTATAAAGTCCAGTAAATTATAATTCTTTTTAGAAAACCATAATTTATATTATTTTGATTTAGACTTTAATCTTAAAGTTTGTAACATTAAATATTTTGAAGTTGTTTTATAAAATATAGATCCTATGTAATTTACTGCACTTTCTTCCTAAAATATATCTTTTGAAATTATCTCCTTAATTTCTTAAGAAACTAATTAATCTGTTCAGATATAACTTTAGCAAGTCAATTTATGTAGTAACATATTTGCAATTGACAATCAAATAACAATATTTCTAAAAAGTACTAATTTTATGAGAATTTAATTAGAAAAAATTTTCTTGGTTACATAGACTAATTGAGCTTGGAACAATAAGAAAAAAATTATTTGAAAGGACCTTTTTTATTGAAAGAAAAAGTAAACAACAATTCTATTAAATCAAGTTAACTCTTTAAAATTGCATACTTTAAGATTCTTTTCCTAATTATCGAGCTAAATCCACTAATATCTATATCATTACTATCAACGCTGGAGGTTAAATAATTGCATATAATACAGATATGAATAATTTCTTAAATAATTATTATCATAAGTTGTTAGGACTATTTTATACTGATGACTAATTATTTGTATTATTTAAATCTCATGATAATGATATATCATACATAAGGTTCCACTTACAAGGCAATTTACTTATTTTGAGAGATCGATAAAACCTGTAACACAATTATAATGGAATAGATGAATTTGAATTTTTCCAAACAGGAAATTTTCTCGTTTTTGAATCAGAATTTTTTTATGATCTAATGGTTATAGAGAATAAAAGAATAAAGAAAATTTGGACTATACTTAAATAATCAAAAGTTATTTTTATATAAAACACAAACACTGATAATTTAATAATTTCTATTTATTTTACGGAATTGAATAATAATTTTGAAATTGAAATTTATGCTTATGAATAATTAGAATTTCGATTAAATTTAAAATTGAAGAGATATATTGAAAAAGATATTATTATTTAAGAATTGAA